CTAATGATACCTCTTCTCCTCCAATGACGAATCCGAACGATATAATGCTTCTTTTTCGATAGACTTTGCACGATTTCGGAAAGTGTTTATCGAAGTAGGAAAGGCGAAAATTATTTGAGAACAAATGTAGATATATTTATTTAGAAACGATGTTTCTCGATGAATTTTGTACAATTATTTGTTTTAATTTTGGAGTTTGTAGCGTGCAGATTATCTCAACAATCGAGTCTGGAATTTAATTTTAATTAATATTTATTCGAATATAAGATTTTTTACTTATTTTTTATTAATTTGCTAAATTATATTTACTATTGAATTTTAAATATAATCATATAATTAAGCATCGCCTAAATTTTTGACGAAAGTTATTATTCGAAATTCATTGAATAAAATATATCTTACTGATTCCCACAGCAAATCTCCATGCGAATATAACCGATCGTCTAAATTCAACATAACGATACGGGTTCATTGATTCGCTCGTTAAACATATTAATAAAAATTGACTAATGTTTCAAGAAGAATAACAAGAATAATCGTACAAGATCAAACGGACCGATTTATCAATTTTCCGTGGGGTGATTCGACATACTCAGTATATTTCTTTGCAGCATGTCCTGACGAGTTGTTCAAAGAATTGTGTCATTCGCTGGTATCTAAGCACATAAAGACACTAAAAGAGATCAACATCGCTTTCATACCATACGAAGAACAGGTAAAGCAATGAAAACTATGACAAGGAAAATGTTTAAGCGTTTTGTCCTTCGTGGTGATGGGCATATACACACACACACACACAAACATACAACATAATACAAATATTTATCACATTTACGCGACAATCTATGTTCACTTTTCGGTCTCTAATCACGTAAGTTTAATCACGCGAGTGTCTCGGTTATCAATCGGAACAATATGAATACAATGTTATCCTCTCATCCAACCTGTCCAGCCCAATCTGAGTCTTTCATATGTGATTCACGAACAAGCACATACTAATAATCAGAATGCATTCATGCTTGCACTCGATGCCAGTATGCCCGGAGGAGCTGTTCAATGAAATCTGCAAGTCTCTCGCTGCTAAAAAGGTCAAAACCCTCAAAGAGATCAACATCGCATTGCATCCCTGCCGTATGAATCGCAGGTGACGATTAACCAAACGAAAACAGTAGACGCTATAGTTGTAGCTCTAGAACGCGAAAACTTGCATTCACAACCTTCACAAGTTCACGAGCTTATAGATTTCTCTGCTTTTCCGGATCATCGAGATTTACCTTTTGATTGTAAAAGACTAGGTGATAAATTTCCTGTTAAAGAGAGAAAGAGCTTCCCATCTCTTTTTTCGAAAGTTTCGATATGTTCTGCGTACATGCTTGTAATATGATTCTAATCAGATTGTTTCTATAATTCAGTCTTGTTACTTGCAGAAGTTTTTAATTGTCTTCCTCTTATTTACTTTGCTTTAAGTATAAAACTTTATGTAATTAAATTCGCATTGTGACATGACGAGAATATCGCAAAACTGAATCTGCCATAATTTAGGTCTTCTCATTGGACTCACGCGAAACGTTTGCTTGCTTTTACAATCCCTCTTTCTTCAATCTAAGACCGGCTAATATGGAGCGCATTGCCGAACAAATCGCAACACTCTGCGCCACTCTTGGGGAATATCCATCGGTCAGATATCGCAGGTAATTTCAATTTTCAAACACGCTTTGAAAAAATAGAAATACTATCAAATAATTTATATATTTAAAAATAGACCCTTTAATAATATTAAATAAACGTATCGCAGTGATTTCGATCGCAACGTTGAACTCGCTCAATTGGTGCAGCAAAAGCTAGATGCATACAAGGCTGATGAACCGACAATGGGAGAAGGACCTGAGAAAGCGCGTTCTCAATTATTGATCCTAGATAGAGGATTCGATTGCGTCTCACCACTGTTACATGAGCTTACACTGCAAGCCATGGCATATGATTTGCTGGATATTGATAATGACGTTTACAGGCAAGTGAAGTCTCATAATTTTTACTATAAGTTTAAAGCGCAACTCTCTAAGACTATACATAATGTTAAATAGGTTTGAAGCAACAGCAGGTCAGGAAAAAGAAGTATTGTTGGATGAAAATGATGATTTATGGGTGGAACTCAGGCACCAACATATTGCTGTAGTGTCTCAGTATGTATATAAATATAAGTCCTAAATTTTTGAAAAGATTAATAACTGTGAAGAGCATTGTAACAGTAAAACTCGTTTTCCAGGAACGTGACTAAAAACTTGAAAAAGTTTACAGAATCAAAAAGAATGCCGCAGGGTGATAAGCAAAGTATGCGTGATCTATCGCAGATGATCAAAAAGATGCCGCAATATCAAAAGGAACTAAGCAAATACGCTACGCACTTACAATTGGCCGAAGATTGTATGAAACGTTATCAAGGAAATGTAGATAAGCTTTGTAAAGTGGAGCAAGTATGTAATCACTACTCTATAATTTATTTAATAAATGATAGTCTTTTAATTACATATTTTTCAATCTAGGACTTAGCTATGGGTACCGATGCGGAGGGTGAACGCATCAAAGATCATATGCGGAATATCACACCAATTTTACTTGATCAGACTGTGAATCATTTGGACAAGTTGCGCATCATAGCTTTGTATGTTATTAGCAAAAATGGCATCACCGATGAAAATCTTAATCGTTTGGTTCACCATGCCCAAGTGTCCGTTGATGATAAGCAGACTATCGTGAATATAGCAAATCTCGGCATCAATGTTGTTGTAGATGTAAGCTAAAGAATTTATAAATTATGCTTTATATATCAAAAAGTTTGTAGTAACCCTTTAAAAACGGTGATTTATTTTTGTTGCTTGTGCAATATTATTACTTTGCATTTGCAGAGTAATCGTAAAAAATTATATACGGTACCACGTAAAGAAAGAATCACGGAACAAACATACCAAATGAGCCGTTGGACTCCAGTCATTAAGGATGTCATGGAGGATTCCATCGAGGATAAACTTGATTCTAAACATTTTCCTTTTCTCGCTGGACGTGCAGCTAGTTCAGGATATCATGCACCAACTAGGTATATTATAATAATGTTTTCTTTTCTTTTTTTAAATGTATTAAAATTATTAATTTGTTTCTCAAAACATTAATATATATTTATGTAGTGCACGATATGGACATTGGCACAAAGACAAAGGTCAGCAGACTATCAAAAATGTTCCTCGGTTAATAGTTTTCATAGTTGGTGGAGTATGCTTCTCTGAAATACGATGTGCGTATGAAGTCACAAATGCATTGAAAAATTGGGAAGTTATAATCGGTAAGAAATATTTAGATATGAATTTTGAATATAATAATTTCTAATTAAAACATATGTTTACAAAAATCTTATTATTCGCAATTAAGAAATATTTATGTATTGTTGTAGGCTCATCCCACATAATTACACCAAAGTCATTTATAAATGACTTGAGTAAAGTGCACGTCTAAATTATCATGTAGCTAAAAGAAGATATGATCACACATTCCTAATCTGCCATTAATTTCAACTCCATCAGTAATACCAGCAGCTATGAAGCCATCAATGATCTCTCAAATACAAAATTAACGAATGTAACTAAATAACGAACAGGGAGTCAATTCTTTAAGGGAAAAACTCATTCCGAACAGAAACATCGAGCGTATGCAAGTATTCTAAACATAGCTGTCAGTTGAGTAATATATAAAAGTATTCGTGTATTAGTCAAGCACGAAGAATCTTGATCGATCAGACAAGTTATCTAGAATCAAGTGCCTGCGCGAATACATAGTTACCAGAGATCGTATGAGACATGTTGGCAATACTGATGTAGATTACATCAAGATTATAATGGTATTGGGCAATTGAGCCTTTAGCAAAGCTTTACAGATGTATTCATATGCATTAATTCACTCTTTATCAGTAATAAGGAAAGGAATTTATGAAGATCTATTTGTGTCGTAGAAGAGGATCGTGATATTTCTGTACATTTCTCATTATTATTAGTATTCTCATACTAATTCTCTTTATTATTTTGTGTTAATTTCCGCTTGTTGAAACGTGATGACCGAGTTGACATCTGAGATGTAGATCGTCTTTGTTTAATATACTTTTGCTATACTTTTAGAAAAATCATACTTTTATTATAATAGAAACATCTCAAATCTAAATGTCACATCGCAATTCACTTTATTCTCTTCAACTTTAGTATCAATATGATAACAAGATTAATTATCTGAAATTTTTATTTCTTGAATCTAATTAATGGTACTGAATGTAAAATAATACCTCTAGATGTATACAAACCTAATACTTATATTTTCTTTGTTAACTTATTTATTCGTAGTTCTTTACTTTAATAATTTTATGCAATACTCTCTAATTTTCGAGTTATCCAATTGTCAATTTAGATGCTCCTACATTCAATGTAATTCATAAGTATATATGATAGTTTCAATATATAATATTCAGCACTTTCTTTTTGACAAAATAGACTACTTCTATTGAATGTAATACAAATACAGTTATAATACTGTATTAATATGTATGTATCATAAAATTTATTGCAATATTGAACTGTAATTGTTCTGCGATGGTAAAGAAGCGCTTTCCATAAGAAGCTTGCGCCTGTCAATGAATAACAATGGTAATTGTTAATGTAATGTCAATAAATGTTGCGATCTATTAGCGGAGAGATTATTACAAAGTTAAATGATATTTATAAAGTATATCCTGTTGTGTTATACATATATATGTATATATATATGTATGTAGATTATAACTTGAACAAAATGTTCTGCATATAAAGGCCTATAATGCACTCTATTTGTCTTTTTTTAATTATCACTTTACCATATGTATACGCACTGAATACAAAATTGCTTGGATAATAGCTTATTTAGAAATATTTAGATACACGCACATACCGATTTACAATCTCAAGTTTCCAAAGGGTTATCACTAATCAAAGGTCAAAAAAAAATGAAGTTGAATAAGATAAAGTTGCAATAAAACCGACTTTAGCACAGTTAACTGTACTGTCTCAACAGATACTCCTTACTCTTAATTCATTTAGTATAGTTTTTTAATTTCTACTTAAAATACGAAGCAGTGTGAAAGATGGCAGATTTAAAAAAAAAAGTGATTCTAGCATATAGCGGTGGTCTAGACACCTCCTGCATATTGTTTTGGTTGAGAGAAAAAGGATTTCAAGTTATTGCTTACATGGTAAAAATTTTTGTAATTACATAATTTCTTCCTAAAATGAGTAGATACAGAAATTTAACTATATATATTTAGGCGAACATTGGGCAAGACGAAGATTTCGACGCAGTTAGAGACAAGGCACTCAAAATCGGTGCCATTAAGGTGAATTTCTTTTTGTTTTAACATATTAAATAATGCTAAAAAATAAAATTTTGTTTTATAAATTGGTAAATAGCTAATATTATTGATTATTGATAATATATTAATTGTTCAATATATTTGTAATAAAACAGTAAATAATCCGGTTCTCCTGTTGAAAAATTTGCATAACAATAAATTCAACTGTTCATAAGGTTGTAGTAGATGATCTTAAAGAAGTATTTGTAACTTCTTATGTATGGCCTGCCGTGGCTTGCGGCTTGCTCTACGAAGGAAGATACCTTCTAGGCACTTCCATAGCACGGCCATGTATTAGCCAGGGTTTGATCAAACTCGCGAGAGCCGAAAACGTCAATATCATAGCGCATGGAGCAACCGGAAAAGGAAATGATCAAGTTCGCTTCGAATTGAGCTGCTACAGTCTTTGTCCTGATATCACGGTATTTTTCACGTCTATTTTACCAACAATTATTTGACGAGCAACATAAGTTTGAAAGATGTATATCGATTAATTCAGGAAAAATTAATCTTTTTATACATGTATAATATATATAGGAATGTGATTGTCTATTTTAAAAGCATAGAAATCTAATTATAATTATATGACAAAAAATATATAAATATATAAATATAAAGATTTTAGCTCCATGGAGGGAACGCGAGTTTTACACGAGATTTCAAGGAAGATCGGACTTATTGGAGTACGCGCGACAAAATGGAATACCGATCTCAGCAACGCCGAAGGAACCATGGAGCACTGATGCTAATCTCGTACACATTAGGTATAACACACGTAAATAGAACATTTAATAAGAGATTGATATTATAATCTCATCTTTTATATTTGTAGTTACGAATCAGGGATATTGGAAAATCCTGCTACTCCAGCACCGAAAGGACTTTACAAAATGACCGTTGATCCGATAAATTCCTGTTCAGATGCAGAAGAGATCGAAATTAGTTTTGCAAAAGGATACCCAATTAATGTGAAAAGTCTAAAAGATAGAAAAATATACGATACTCCTCTAGCGATAATAGAGTTTCTTAATAAGATCGGAGGTGCGCACGGTATCGGAAGAATAGACATCGTGGAAAATCGATACATCGGATTAAAGGTGCATTTCTGATAAATCTATGAATTGCGAGTACATAAAAACGAATACGTTCATTTAAATATTTTAGTCTCGAGGAATTTACGAGTCACCGGGCGCTAAAATTTTGCACATCGCGCATCAAGACTTGGAAGTATTCACCTTGGACCGTGAAGTTCTAAGAATTAAATCGTATTTAACGGATAAGATGTCGGATTACGTTTATAATGGTATAGTTAAATACATGTATAAAAACCATATTTAAATATAAAAAAATTAATAATGTATATCAAATTTCCTGAGCTAAATTATTTTAAGAACGCTTATCTTATACAGGTTTCTGGTTTTCGCCTGAATGCGAATTTGTACGGGAAAGCATCCAACATTCCCAAAAATACGTAAATGGTATGGTGAGGCTACAACTGTACAAAGGAAATGGTTGGTATAAAAATCATAATTTGTACACATCAAATTAAATCAAAACCATAAAACTTCAAACAGTCTATATTTAGTGCTAATAATATATGGATACGATCATGGATTTCATCCATATCAATAAGAAATAATTATATATTCTTCTTTCTATTATATGCAGTCATGACGATCGGTAGATCGAGCGAAGTCTCGTTGTATAACGAAAATTTAGTCTCAATGGACGTGCAAGGTAATTTCGAGCCCGCGGATGCTACTGGATTTATTCGCATGCAAGCTCTAAGACTGCGGGAGTTCCATCGTTTCAATAAACAACACAATATCTAACAGCATTAGGAATTTATTGCAAATTTTATATTTCTCAATAAAAGGCGCACTGTACTTTTAATTCTCTCTCTAAGTGTTATTTTATTACTTTATAAACATCTGCGCGTGTTTTTGAAACATAATTCGATATTTTCTTTGCAACTCTCTCTCTCTCTCTTTCTCTCTCTAAATGATTTAAAAGTATATATTTAACATGCGTAGTATCGCAGCGAGAAGAATATATCTCGTCATATGCATATGACTAAATGTAATGAATAAACTAGATCTAGACACAATTCATTTTGAAAGAAATTCGAATATGCGCTCTACAGATCTTTTAGCACATGCGGTTGTCGTAGGAGAAAGGTGAGGTTTCGCAATAAAATACTACCACTACATTTTTGCTTTCATATTTTAGTTATTAATAATTAAATCTTAAGATTGTTAGAGCATATACTTGTAAGGGCTATAATATATGTGCTTATAATATACTTTTGAGGATATATTAATAGTATACATATATAGTGATTTTTTTCGTATTTGCACTCTACTTCGACTTCGCAACTTAAGGAAAAACTGTCAAATACGAAATCATGCGACAGTTGCTTCTTTAGCCGCGATTTTCTATACAGGTCTCTTACTTGCGTTCTGTTCTCACACTCTTTGCGTTTGTAAATATTATATTATATAACATGCAAAATTACACAAACTAGGAAAGGTAATTTCTCTATGCATGTACAATGAGTAGTCTGTTTCTTGTATTCACAATTTAATATTAGTTTAAATATTGTAATAAACATTGTATTGTAATAAACATGTATTTCTGCTATGTAATAACAATATATAGATTATATATATATGCATGTGTATGTGTGTACACACATACACACACATATATAATTCAGATTCTGTCAAATAAATTTCAATATGCATACAAAACATTTTACGCAAGAATACACATTTTATTCTAAAAAAAGTAAGAGACATATCCATCTTTGATGGACATATCTTTTATTTAGCTTTCCGTTTCTTACAATTCACATTCTGTTTGTTTATATGTATTTATATATATATATATATATATTATAGATTGATGTTGTTAAATAAGAGATTTATACATACGTATAAATAATCATAAATAATATCGCATGCATTCTTAATTATAAATAAAAATGGAATTAAAAAAAGATGTGTTTTTAATATATGTAACATCAATTATTAAATCTCTAAAACGTCATTTAAAAAAAAAAAAACCGAACCTTTGAAGCTTCATACATCGAGAATTCTTTATTAACATCTCGCTAATAAGTTGTATTATAAGATTATATTGGATAAATCAAAACTCATTGCAACGCTTTTTTATGAATCAGTTTTTTTAATTCGATTTTTATTTATAAAAAATTATATTTAACATAAATATACGAAAGTAAATTTACGAAGCTGCCGTCGTTAGTGTAACAAAGAAAACGGAGATACATGAACGCAACGCTCTATAAACAATCGCTCCTTTTTCTTTTATTTTCTCTCATCTCGTAATTATTTATATATAACCTGTTTAAATGTTCACTATTGTTAGTCATAGTAAATCTGCTAAAATTCATGTGCCATTGGAGATGAGATGTGCGCTCGTGGAAACTTATATAAAAAATTACTTTTTGATACAGTTGAGTGATTTTGGTGTTACTTAGAGAAATATGTATGTATAGTCGTTACTCCCTAACTTATGCTGAGATCTAGCGGGTTATACAATTTATCTATCCGTCTTCTTTAACGATTATAAACCTTATCACATATAAAGGTTATATATTTTTTTATTGGTGCTTAATATATATTTATACATAGATATTCTATATTTCGTATTTAACACACTACCAATGATTTCTCCTTGTATGTACAATTACAAACCATGTATTATACAATCTTAATATCTATTACACACATTCTTCTTTTTTCCCTTACACATTCTTTTTCTGCACTATCTCTTTCTTCTATCATGTATTCAGTTTTTTTTTCTTTTCTGTTATTACATAATTAGGATTCATATATCCGGCCAGCATGTGTGAGCACATTATCATGTGACGCAACACTTATGACTTCCAATAACTTTCATCATGTCTAAAGATACATGATTGGTCAATGTAAATGTGTATTCTACAAACCAAATAAAATCGAAATACTTTGAAGGGATACGAAACTCGTTAATTTGTATTTTTCAGATTTTGCCAATAACGAATTTCAATATTACATACAAAATATTTTATGCAAAAAGAATACGTTTTATTCTAAAAAAAAGATATCCATCATTGATAGACATATTTTTTATCACTTTACGTTTCTTTTACAATTTATATTCTAAATATTTCACGATACTCTGAAGGTAAACATACATTAAATAAAATAAATAACTAATGCAAAACTTTTGTGGTTCAAAAGATATGCACGTTATTTATAATACTCGTCAGCGTTCGATTCATATTCGGTCCGATTACTTATTAAATAGTAAATAAAAGATATTCTAATTTGATTTTGCGTTAACTATTCGCTTGCTCAATGTATACCCATGTATACCCAATGTATACCATGTTAATGTATATTTCAATTATCCATTTATAACTAATATAAAAAAGATAAAATTTTTTCTAAACAACTAATATACATACAATCCGCTTTCATAGGACATCGTAAACGAAAGATAATTTGTGGTAGACGCATTTGACAATTTTCCTTAACTATTATATCGTGAAAAATTCAATGTTCATTGTGTGTGTGTGTGATTAATCTCAATAAGGATTATAAATAATCCTTTAATATTTTTAAATTGCTTCTGTCGATAGTTGTAATTTTTTAAATATATTGGACACTAATGTGACATTATAATGTCTGTTATTAACAAAATTGTTGATAGTAGAATTGTTGATTCTTTCATTAAAATGAAAGAATCCTTTCACATCTAAATAATTGAAGTTTTCGGGATAAAACGGCACGTTATTATTCTCGATCGTGCATTTTTCATTTTGTAAATTAAATATTTTAGACAAAACGACGTGTGGAAAGAAGAACACTATCGGTATATCTATTAGCTTTTATATATCACTAAATGATTAATTTTGCACTGAAAAATACTCCTACCACAGTTAAGTGCATACATCAACAATAACATACCAATGACTAAATCACTGTACTAAATGGCATAAACATTATTATTGCACCGTATAAATAGTACAAGATCTCAAGATCTTGTAAATCTTTCTTAATTTTGATTAGACAGAAACTTTGAATCATTTATATATTAATTACAAATGGCAGAATTTAATTAAGTAATGGACATTGAAGTTTTCACATAACACAATAGAGAAATTATCAAATGCTTCTGCCACAAATTATTTTTCGTTCACGATGTCAAAGTGATTAATAGCATTATAATTTCACATTAGTGTCCAACGTATTAGAAAGATTAAGGAATTAAAAAATATTAAAACGTTATTTATAATTATTAAGAGATTAATCAAATAATGAACATTGAATTTTTCACGATATAGATAAGGAAAATTACCAAATGCGTCTGCCACAAATTGTCTTTCGTTCGCGATATCCTATGAAAGCGAATATTATATATATGTATATGTCTAATTCTTTGAAAACAACATTTTATGTATTAATTACATAATAGTAAAATAATTGAAATAAATATTGAAATGAATATACATTGAACAAACGAACAACTAATGCAAAATCAAATGCAAACTTTTTTTATTTACAATCCGATAAATTGAATGAATTGGATATTCGAATCAAACAAGTATTATAAATAACATACACATGTTTTAAATCTTGACAGCAAAAGTTTTACATTGATTGTTTGTTTGCTTAATGCATGCTTGTCTTTAAAGTATCGTGAAACACATTTATATAAAAATCGACAGATATGTCGATTTTGTTCTTCTTTCCACACGCGAAACACGAAACGTCGTTTTATCTAAAACATATCTTTAATTTATAAAAAAGAAAAATGCACAGTCGGAAATGATGACGTGCCATTTCATGCCGAAAACTTCAATTATCTAGAAGTAAAGGTATTTTTCGGTTTTAATATGTCGAGTTTTATTAGAAAAGAAATATATATTTATTCGGTCAATAATATGGTATAAAATAAAAAAAAATCGTTAAGATATAAATTTAAAAAATTGAGGAAACGTGTATGTGAATAATCTTTGAAGTATCATCTAAGCTTGACATAACATGACCGAAAGTTATATTACGCTGAACAATCGAAGGGACATGAACTGATTAATAACTAAAAACCGCTTGAACAAAATACGCGAATTGAGTGAACCTTGACTAAAAAAAAATATTTCATCGATAAAAGAAATGTAGAAAAGCAATACTGTACATTAAAATAGTTCCATAATTTTTTTCATTCCAATTTTTCACATTTTTACTTAATCTTTAGATAGAGAGTACGAAGAAGTAGCTTTTAAAAAAGTTCGAACTCGAGATTTTCCAAGATTTCTAGAAGCTCGTAAAAAATATAAAATACATTTACAAATAATTGTAAACAAATCAATAGTGCTCGGCATATCACTAATACAATCCTGAGACACAGACAACAGAGAGAAAGAGAAAGAGAGAGAGGGAGAGCTCGTAAGAAAAACTAAAGAAAAAAATTTTTCTGGACGCTATTCATTGTTCAATATTTTGCTTATGTTTTCAATATTAGTAACGATAAATTCTGCTCTCGTTTATTGTTGACACTAACTTTAGCAATATCACAAGCAAGTTTTATTGCAATTTTTTGGTAATTTAAATTATTTTTAAAGTTGAATTGAAATTCTATATTAATGAAAGAACAAAAAAATAATAGAAGCTACCTTCGAATATTTACTTCGCCCTTTGCAATCCTATTTACGCTAATATGTGCATCGGAGATGAATTCGTAAGAAAAAGAATCGTATATCGTACTAATATGTAATTTCAATTTTCAAAAATATATATAATTAAATATTTAAAATTTATTTAAATATTCCGAGAAAATTATGTCAGGATGATATTAGCGATGAAAGTACTATTGATGGAAATGCGAGCTAACTCAATTATTGGTTTATAAATGCAACTCTATTTTTTAGAAGCTTCTAGAAAAATCTTTATTTGTCGTATATATTATATGTAGCAATATTTGTGTCGGCGATCAATAATCGTTATGATGACATAATTTGCTTGAAGTAATCCAAAATTATTATCATTGTCCCAAAAGTTTAAAAATTTTAAACAAAATCATGATTTACAATTGATCGGTTGAAAGAATAAAATAAAATGGAAAATATCTAAAGACAAAATGATGTGAAATATTGAAAAGTAGAAATTGTAAAACTACTTCAGTATCGATTTTTGCACTATCTTTTATTGATAAAAATCTTTTTCTTAGTCAAAGTTCATTGAATTTTGCTTGAGAGGCTTTTAATTATTAATCAACCCTTGCTCGATTGTTCATTCGTATAACTTTCCTCTGCTCGATTATGATGTCTTGAATTTAAATATTTTAAAATTATTCACATATATATATATATATATATATACACACACATTTCCTCAATTTTTTATTTACAATTTAACAATTTTTCTAATTCAATACCATATTAATGATCAAATAAATACATTTCTTTTCTAATAACATTTTTTATTCACAATTTGATATCGGCATCGCGATATCATTTTCACTTAAAATATACTAAAGATTAGATATATAGCCTGATCTAGTGGTTGGTAGGATCGAAATTACTTCAATTCTAGAATCATCTTATTATTTATAATAATTGACAATGTTGTTCTAAAATGAATTAATGTATAGCTTTGATCTGATCAGTTGACTCGCAGTATGACTTCTGGATCAATCAAGATATTATACACTGATTAAATATAATACTTTGATTGACGAGCAATTAATTAATAAAAGTCACAAGCAGATAGCCATGATAACTGTTAAATTCAATAAAACAAGGACATATTATGTGAAATGGTAGTAACAGGTATATTTAATCTTTAATAAATTTTAAACTCGTAAAAACGAAATTGCAATGCTGACATCGAATTGTGAGAGTAACAAATTTTATTAGAAGAGAAATGTATTTATTCTATCGATAGTATGATATCACATTGAAAAAATTGTTAAAACAAATAAATGTAATACAAACATTCAAGAATTTGGTGATCTTGATAACAATTATCACGGCTACCTGTTTGTGATTTTTATTAATCAATTGCATACATATTTTATTGGCAACAAGCTGTACTATAATAATCCTACCAACGATTAATGACTGAACGTGGAAAAATATAAAACTTAACTAAATGTACACAACTCTCTTTCCCCCGCGCCTACATTCAATCTAATTTCATACATTCGGTACACATGCAAACTTCTTATTCACATAATATATCCTGTTTTGTTTTCAAATTTACATAAAGTACAAACTTATGAAAACCGGAAAAATGTAACACAATAACTAGTGTAGCATTTTCGAAGTATCATATAAGTATTTATCTAATTACATTGTCACACTTCGATGTGTGTGTGTGTGTGTGTGTATCCATCGATTTAACATAATTTGTTGCAGTTTATCATTCTAATAAACTGTTCATTCTATTATTCGAGTCTTCAGGCAATCAAAACTTCAATCAAGAGGGGTTTTATCTGTTGGAATGTCCCAACTACACCACCACTATAGTAATTAGCACGAAAATGTCTGGGTCGTCAACGTCATTATTTATGTAAGTTCAATAATTAGCATTATTCTGCTTATTAATTAACGTCACCTTTTCAGATTCCTCTTATAATGTTAAATATAGAAAACGTCAAATATATGTCCATATTCCGTCCAAGTTTCAGTGAGTTTATTATGAACAGCATGTAGTAACATTATAAAGATTCCTCAAACGCAGCCATCAAATCACTTTGCATGTTCATGTCAATCTGCCCAGCCATCTGAAAAGATAAATTAAACTATTTTTCGCGAAGACCTTTGCTTTGAATGTTAAATATAATCTAGATATAGCTATTTAAAATAGCCAACTTTACTCCAAATTATTACAAATGGCAAATTATTCAAATGATTATAATAATCGATAATTAAAATATTAACATTATGCTAATAAATTCTGTAACTGTATGATAAATTTTATGATATAGTGTAAACTTTTTATATGTAGTACAACACATATATGCTGTAACAGTTATTAAAATTCTATATAAATTTAATATTATTCAGTTAACTAACAATTGACAATAATTAAGTTATATTTAAACCATTGAGTTATATTCCCATCATATATGCAATAAGTTATTTTAAATTTGTTTATATATGATTAAACACGCAATCATGACTCCACACATTATAATCGTTGCAAGAATTCCTTTCCAAACTATTATCTCTATTATAATACTGTTCTACATATTGCGCACAATTTTATCTTTTTTTCTTCTGTATTAAGAATAAAAAGAAATTTTGTAGATGCGACAAATAACAAGTACTTACCGCTTCTCGTCGTCGACGTTCTTGTTCCCGCAGCCTCTGACGTTCTCTTTCGGCAGCGGATTTATCCTGACTGGACGAATGACTCGGACTACTACTATCCGTATCAGCAATGGCTTTCACCTCTTCCGTTCTTGTTGTGGCAGTCATAACATTTCCTTGCTGATCTCCGACATTTTTCCTAACCTTGTCCAGGGCATCCTCTTCCTCTCGTTCCCTTCTTCTTTCACTTTCTTGCCGCATCCTCTCTCGCTCTGCTTGTTCCTTCTGCTGCTGTCTACGCATCTCTTGTTGTTCCATGAGAGCTCTTTGCTGTTTTACAAATATTAATATATAAACATATTAAATAAATATATTACACATGAATTAAAATCTCTACTAACTTATTGTATTATAAAATAATTTCAATAAAAAAGTCAAATCGAGCACAAAATAGATGTTTGAACAGTATATATTTGGTAATAATATTTATTTAATAAAATATTTCTGTACTTACTAATGCTTCTATCAAAAATTTAAATTAAATGGAAAACACGAATATAATGGAAAATAATAAAGGTCACAAGAGGCTAAAGGCTAAATAGAAACAAAACAGAATTTTGTCGCGCACCTTTCGAGGTCGAAATTGAATGTTGTCAATGTTGTCTTTTTTTTGTCCACGATGATGGTGTGATCACATATGAATATTATTATTTTCCATTATATACGTTTTTCAGTTTAATTTAAATTTTCGATAGAAGCAATAATAAATACAAAAAAGTTTCATTAAATACATTTTATTTTCTAATATACTATTTAAACACCTATTTTATCTATAGAGAAAAATATATAATTGATTTAAAAAATTCAAAAAAATCACAATATTAGAACTGACCCTATCTTGCTTTTCTTTAGCTTGCTTTTTGAATGCCTGGAATGAATCTCGGGCTGCGCTCTTCATACTGCTTCCTGCCGCCGATTGAGGACTCGATGCTTGCGCCAGGGAGGACCATGAGGATGCATTCTTTACATTTTGCTCCACAGTCTGTGGAGTCAATAACACAACATTTAATAAATATAAAGCATACATTTAATAAATATAAATATAAATATAAACACAAATAGAGAAAATGTATTTCATTTTTCATATATTTATCAAAATATATTTATCATATATTTATCAACACACACACAGAATGTGGCACATTATAAAAAAAAAAGAAAATTAACGTATATCTATATATTATCTATATTTCTTACATATACAATTTAATTTTAATGCGTACTTAGAATATAGATTTTGTACCTTATTTTTAAAGGCTGAAGCAAAATTTGCAGCAGGATTCTTCGAATCAGGTGGAGTCATTTTCTTTTCAGGCATCAGCTGCGAACTAGCATGATTGCCCATTGGTGGCATTCCTAGGGTGTTCATTTCTGCAAAAAAAGCTCCTGCTAGAGCAATAGTATTACATGTTTGGTTAGTAAGCAGTTGATATATAGCAGTTAAAACACACATAAAGCAACATTACTTAAAGCATTAGTAAAGATAGAGGATTATTCTACATATAAAACTCGTGAAATCATAATATTCAATAATGAAGATTATGCTTGAAATATAATTAATAAGTGCGATTGAACGCAAGAAAAGACCAGAAAGCAAATAAGCAAAAACATAAAACTATTAAAAATTGTTAAAATTAAACTAATTAATATGCATTAATGCGCATTGTGTATGCATTTTCTATACAACATATTTCTATTGTAATGTTAATAGCTGCATTAATATTCAAATTATTTCTTGAAAGAGAATTGTATATGTAATAAATAAAATTACTATAATATATAAGGAAGAGGGAAGATATATAAGGAACAGATAAGCCCAATAAACACAGATAAGCCCAATAAACACAGATACTGGCGCAGCCTAAATGAAAATTTAGAGAAAGGAATGCTAAGATAAATGCGCAAAAATATTGCACGAACCATCCATAGGCTTTTGCGTCAGTTGAGGTTGAGAGATGGGCAAAGGTTTTTCGTCCTTCTTTATGGAAATCTGGGAAATCTGCATTGGCATAGATACTATAGGAAGAGGATCGAATATCGAACTCATGCCTCCCATATTCATTCCCATGTTCAATCCCGGAATGCCGTTGTTATTCAGCATGTTGGGTGGTGAATTTCCGCGCTTTGTATTTGGAAACCCATTGGAGTGCTGTTGCGACATCGTAACATTATGAGAGTTCTGAATATTTGGCAATGACGCAGTGGTATTAATCATATTCTCCAATTGATTGTGTATGGACATATGCGCTGCCAATCCTTGCGAGAGATTCATATTCAAACTCGCCATATTGATATTGCCCAAGTTCAGATTAGAAGCCATACTTGTCGGCATCATGTTCACCGGTTTTACATCCGGTATTAAATTTAAATTTGTATTGGTATTGGTATTATTGGTCGTATGAGATGTCTGGATGAATGGAGGATCCTTCTTAATCGCAAGCGTTTGATCCAAAGAAGACTGCTGTGTTTGTATAAATGGAGGATCCTTCTTGATCGCGAGCGTCTGCTCCAAAGAGGATTGTGTGGTAGGTACTGAAGCTACATAAAATACATACACAAACCAAATTACTAATTATATGCGTTCTTCTCTTTTCATACGTGATAAATCTGTTATATGCAAGATATTTATAAATAATACTAATAATACTATAAGATAAATAGTATAGTATATAATAGAGATAAATAGTATATAATAGATAATAATACTATAAGAATATTTATAAATAATTGTGCAAATCTTGTTGCACAGATATCTGGTAGAGCATTGTATTAACTGTAAAAGAATAGACTGTTTATATAAATACCTGATAGAGTATTGTATGGCTGTAAAAGATCAGACTGTTGATTTAAATTTGTTCCGTCTGTGGGTACAGGTGTATTTGCATTCGGAAAGGAACTAATAGTCGTTGGTGGTTGCTGCGGTTGAGATACAGCTGGCGAGGCTGTTATAGAGTTCGTGTTTGTAGGTGTTACGCTGGGCGGTGGAGTCGGCACAGAAACTGACGGAGTTGGTGGATTAGATGTTGGTGGCGGCGGTGTTGGTTTTTTTACAGGAACCGCCTGAGCCATAGCTGTAGGTCGCGATGGTTGTGCTGGCATAGACGGGTGACTCGCGATAGGCATGCCTTGCCCAGCTGTAACAGCAGCTACTGCGACAGGCTGCTGATTATTATTGCCTCCTAAAAGAAGTTTTGTAATTCGTATTTCGCAAGTCTGTGTGTGATATTAACCGCATGTATCAATTTATCTTTTTTTATAATAACACGACGTGCCTTCACATTCTTCGTAACTTATACGTCATAAAAACTCTGTAAATTAAACATGTATGTATTTATGTGTATAAACTTGCAAAATTGGAAAGTTTAAACAAGTGTAAATTAAAGTTTAAAAAGTGTAAATTAGTAATTTTAGTAAATTATATATCGCTAGATCTGTTGAAAAAACATGATAAGTGAAATTTCAATAGAACTCAAGAATTATATAGCTTGAAAATACGATGTTTATGTGATAATCAAAAAATACAAATAAGCATATAAAAGATTCTCGAATATTTGTTGAATTTCTAAGAAATAAGTTTTACACGAAGATTGCTAATCATATATCATACAATATTATTTGATTAATATCGTAATTTTATCCATATACCTTGCTCTGAAGAAATATTGCTTGATTGGGTTGCAGGTGGTTTTATTGGTCCCGCTGAATTTGCCGCAGATGGCTGATTGTTCATTAACAGAGTCCCACTATGATTTAATGTAGGAGCCTAAAGAATATATTATCCTTTTATCTCAAGAAATTCATTGGTAAAGTATTACATGTACAATATTGGAACAAGAGTTGTTATATAAGTGTCATATATATTGTTGTACTTATAATATATGTATATTGCATTATATCTTTTTAAATTCGGAATCAATACTTGTAAAAAGAATTAATAGCGCATTATTTGAAAAATATTTATGATTCATTCTGTATAGAAAAACAAAAATAAAAACGTTCAACTCTCGTTTTAATGGGACTTCTTATATAATCAGTTATCTTACCGCTGTTACAGTGGTGGTCGTTGTCGAAGGTCCTGGCGGGTTTTTCTTTGTTTTCTTTCTATGTGGACGATTCGACGAATTTCCTGAAATTCAATGTGCATCTAACAAGTGAGTAATGTGCAGTCAATCATCATTCTCTGTCACATCGAGAGATGGGAAACTAGTGAAATGCAGTGTGCAGAGAGGATACCAGCCATCGAAAACGTTGCATAACGGCAAGTAAAAATGCGAAACAAAACATTAGAAACGAACAAAATCAAACAACTCTTCAAGCATATATTTTCTAATAGATTTTATTCATATGCTTATATTATAATTGTATCACTGTGTACAACAATGTTAATTTAAATATCTCAATTGTATGTTCCTTTTTTTGTGGACTTTCATCTCTCTTGGTGATTTTTTATATTAAAAAATTTTAATACGCAGAACGACTTCGTCCCCCTCATTCTCTACATAAAGTTGGTTGTATTCAATTCATTTATGATTATTTGCGTGTGCATATATATGTATATGTATACACATCATATAAATACATACATACATACCGCACGCGCGCCCACATATACATGCACACGTGTCGCGAAGAGAGAGAGTTTTCACACATACATATATATTTATATATATAGTTCACATATATGTATGCGAGAGCACGCGCCTGCTCTCTTCGTTTAAGTGTAGCGATAATAATGATTTATTATAATAACAATATAATAATAATTGTGACGGTGGCGGAAGTGACGATTATGAAATATTGACTACAAAAATCATCAAATTGCCGTCTTTCTTTTTTATATTTCCATATAATATAATATATAATTAATGTAATATATGATAGGAATAATGTGTAAATAAATGGTATGATACGGGTTCAACTTCTTATTTCTTTTATGGATTTTCGTCCTTTTCTGGGACAAAGTACCACGGTTTATGGATTCAACTTAAAGATGAAGGATACACGAGAGTGACACACTCTTACAGATTGTTTAATGTTAAAGTCGTAGTTAGCGCAACATTGAGATCGGTGGCAAGAGACTCCTGCTCGATGTTCATAATGTGTGTACTATATAAAATCATCGGTGAGACGGTGGTAGATACATGGGAGAAGCACCATGAGATAACATCATTTTTGTTTTTGTCAGATATGTGCTCTCAAACAATTCGTGATCACAACAATCACAGCGCCGAAATTTATCGATGGAATGTGACGGACAAACCTTGCTTTAAAATCCGTTCGATGATAAACGAAAGCAACGAAAAAAAAAAAAGCCAACGAGAAGGAGTACCAGCGTATCTTAATTTATATAATATAGTTAACTGGACCACCCATATATGAGCCAACCGCGACTCTTGAAGAGAATTAACGTCTACGTCACTCGTTTAAACTTTGTGTGTATGCACTTAATAAAAAAAGAGTCTCGCGCGTGTCTATGTATGTGTCGCATTTCTTCTCCGTAACTGTAACTTATAGCTATTTATTAATATTTTATGATATATTAGTTTTTACTATGTACAAAAAACACGTACGCTCGTGTTTACCGTTATTATTAAATTCGCGATACGCAGAGAGAAAACAGATGGAACGCTTATAACTACGAGTCCGAAATAGAAAGGTAATATCGGCGATATTAAATAAAAGAGATGTGTGTGTACGTGTGTCTATTTTTCGAATATAATAAAATATTTAGATTCCTTAAATAATCTGCTTTCGCGTATAACTAGCAGGAAGAGTGATGACATTCCAGTCTGGATGAAAGAATGCGAAAAAAAAAATTTAGACGCGTGCTTGCATACAGAGTAAATGCTACAAAAATTTTGGAAGGCAATATGGATATCATTTTATAAAATGCCCTATACCTCGTGTTACAAGCTAATGGTGATTGTATCTTAATAGATGCGTCGTAGGATCTATCTAATTCAGCACACGCTGCCAAAAATTTGTTCTCCCATAATCTAGCTAATTATTCGGATATCCTTCTCTCTCTTTCTCTAGTCACTTTCAGTATTTTGGAGAAACATAAAACGGCGATAATGTATATTAATCTGTCTGACATTTCTCATATTCTACCTTTAAATGCTTATAATTCCAATAATCAATAACTCTCTTAATCGACGAACACTTTTTTTCGACCAATTGTGGCTTGTTTGTATCGAGTAATTATCGTAATAATTAATTGCCCTATCTCTTATCTCTCTCTCTTTTTTTTTTGCTTTCTTTCTTTCTTCTGTCGGGACAGTAAGTACGCTGCTGAGTGTATGATTCATGATACTATTTAATTGTACTCGAGTGCAAATTCGATTATCGTTAATGCTCACGTTATGTTTAATTACAAGCCCACCTTGCAGGTGAAACAGCTTAGAGCGTCATTATCGGTTACGTTCACAATAAATTCTTATCAATATATATCTTCTTATATATATAATAAGAACTAAATTTATACATGATATCTCAACAAAAAACATTATCATGGAGCAGACATTTACACATAGAAATATAAAAACAAAAAATTATCATTAAAATTAATCTTGTTTAAACTCGTATAAAAGATTTTCTAAAAATGTTTTAATAGGACGGGTTAAGAGTAATGCTATACTTCAAAAGTTATGACAATATTCGTTACTCGGAAATTATTAACGGTATTTACAATACACATTGTGAAATACTATTGCGATGAAATGTGTGAAATGTGTGATGCGCTTGACTTGAATAGCTACTATTCTCACATATTGAGAGGCATGTAAAACCACACCAATTCTCATAATTCGCAATTCTCATTGGTATAGTGATATCAATTTCAGAAAGAAGACACTCTTCCCAATTTTTCTTCTAATCATTTGAACGATGAGAAAACTGACAATGGTTAACCGATGAGGAACTAGTGGTAAATAAGATGAAACGACGATTTGCAAAGCTTAGCGGAGTGCAAACAATGTGTTTGGAGGCTAGGGCGCCTTGTGTATACATATATGTATATAGATATATATATTTATATTTATATATGTATATATATAGATCATTTCCTCTTAACTTGTTTCCCTTCCTATTCCTTTTCCTTTCTACCTGCTTTCACTGTGATCAATCTTGTCGAGTCCCTTTCTCTGTGTCGTTTTCCTATCTTACCTTCTACTTCTTTAAGTTTGCACACATATGTGCATGCTCAAAGTCATTCATTTTACAAAAAACACAAATGAGATCTGTCGATTAGAACTCAGATGTAAGTGTACTCTCCGCACTAATTTATCCTCTATGGATTTATTAGAATTACTTTATTCGAATCTATGCACTCGGAACGAGTCAGTAAGGAAGATACGAAAGAAATACTTTAATAATTGACTTCTTAAAGGAAGCACATCTTTGCCTATGGTAAGCTTTAAGATCGAGGTGGAAATAGTAACAATGAAACCGATATCTCTTCGTATTCGTGAGAAGAATCTTGTTTTAGAATTGCTTTGCGAAGATAAAATTCTCGCAAGAGAGCGTGAGTCACTGGTAAAATACAAACGCGTAATATTGTGAACTATATGCTAAACCTTGAAATGTGCACTAATTTGCAAATCTAGCCACCAATACACATTGTCTGCATTCCCGTGTGTGTATCGCTATGATCCCACCGCCTAAATTGTCTCTTTACGATAACGATAACCGGTATCATTATGGTCCGCATAGTTTGAAATGTGTGGAAATGACCGAGGAGCATAAAACGCAGACGTTTCACATCAACCAAATAATATTGCGTATTATACCCACTTCTTATGGTTTAGTGCGACGCCTGTTAATCACTAAATTCTGAGAAATGATACGACATGAATGGATCAATGTGAGAAACCAAACTTAATGATTCGAAAAACACAGTGATACAAGTAACTGCTGTTCTGATTATCGTTTAATATAAATAAATAACGCAAGTTTGCAAGAGTTAATATATTGAATGATCTTTCGGGTTATATGTGGGGCGATATATAATTATCGGGGAAAGCTATGAAAAATACGTTTGTGTAACTTATACAAGGTACTATTATTTGACACTACAGTCATATGGCATTTTGCAATTTTGCTCATCGCGGGGTGAAGAAGTCTCTTCAGAGGCATTTACTAACTTAGGAAAGCAATAATTTTCTTACAAACCCAAAGGCGGGACTGCAGTGAGAAATTCAGTAACCTTGAGTAGCAAACTATACTTGACTTTCGAGCAACAGAATGTATTGTCAACACCGATAGGGCAAGAGAAAATAATCATATTGTTCATAATCAATATAATTCATGAAACAAGCTGGCATGGCATATGGTATCCTCTAAACACAGTCTGCACTCCACTAGCTCACCTTTGTTCTTACCATTGCATATGTCTCGTAAATTAAATAAAAATTCTTTCTGTGTGTGTCAAGTTTCAAATTCTTAATGCTACATACACCGCACATCCGCGATACTTGTCGGTGGTAAAAAGTGTGCGAAATTTTACAGTTATATCATCTCATTCTACAATCTGTTTTCAAAATGAAACTTGACACTCACATCTGTACTTGCATTAATATAACGCAGCACTTAAGCTACATGTGTGTATGTGTATGTGAATAACGCCGTCCTAATAAATACAGTAATTAATAAGCAAGATTCAGCAGCTTAAGAAGATATTTGCGATACACGTCAAACCCCTTTTTGAAAAAATCGTTTATATCTAGTTTGTAACTTCCTTCTTGCGTATGTTATACACACTGCTAATAATGCATCAGTGTTTTTCGATTGTTTTATTTGCCAATAGAAAATTGGTTAGGCACAGAGTTCACGAATATTTTTTTTCTTTGAAGTTCTTAAATTTATCACCAAATCATGAGGCATCACTTTTTCCAATAGAGACTGTCAAGTTTTAGTGTATATAATAATAGAAATGAAATACGATGAACAGATAATTAATTCATTTTTTTAGTTCTTTTAAACTTATTGATAACAAAAAATTTAAATTGTTGGTATATAAGCCTTTTTTTTACCATAAAATTAAAGTTGCATTATATAATTTTCTGCTATGTACTGAAATATTATAATTATAATGATAATCACATGCATTAAGTATTACATTCACTCTGTAGTTAAGAAGTTATATTATCGAGATAAAAATATGTTTTATTTTCTATTGTTTTATACAGTTAGTGTACAAAATTTAATGTACATAATGTGTGTGTGTGTGTGTGTATGTGTGTGTATATACGTGCATGTGTATATGTTTATGTATGTTGCGTGTGCCACATGAAATGGTGAGTCATTTTTAAACAGCTTGAACTTCACGTCTACGACTCCGTCGCTATTTTTCTTGATAGTAGTAAATTTCTTATTATTTTAAATTGATAATGTCATTTATAGTATTATACAACACGCAAAAAAAGAAAAGAAAAAACACATACAGAAAGTAGACATTTTTTAGAAATGCCCTCAGGCTCACAGCAACCCTGTTATATTTGTGATGCGATGAGAGAAAAGAGCGCGTTAACAGTCTAAATCAATATTCACATATGGTATATACTTGTACAAATGTATTGTCTTTTAAAACTTTCGGGCGTAAACGTGAATATGGAAATCTGTGCTTCAGAGGAATCGCTAGGAAGTAACAAATTCCTGCAAAGAACTTGAAAATACGAATATACGTTATTCCCCTCCGAAAAAGATGTATACAACAGATAAGTCTCGCGCACGCGCAAATAACCCCATAATTTTAAATCTCACCAAAGAAATCGTATTTTATAGTTTTTTGTAATAACTACTTGATTACAAGTAGTCTTTTCTTGTTCCCACGTAAGGGTCTATTATAGTAGCAGTTACATTTATATCTAACCTGCTTCACTGTCGCTTGAGTCACTGGAGCTTGAAGAAAGTGAACTACTGCTGGAGTCACTATCGCTGCTACTACTGCTCGACGCCGACAATCGCGAAGGTCCACTGGCACCACCAGTTCCAACTACATCAACAGACTTACTGCTGTCTTCTGTTTAAAAAAAAATAGAATGATTTCTTTATTATATCTATCAATTTCGCCATTTTAAATATTTTTTTCATGATAATTTCTAGAAAAAATATTAAAGTTATTTTATAGAAAAATATATATCAAAGACGCATACCCTTCTTAGCCGTCTTTTTGACATTGCCTAACTGCCCCGTCACATCCTGCAACCTCTTTTCCAATTCTTGCTTCTTTTCTGCAATCTGCTCATCTTTAGATTTACCACTGACTTTCTTGTCTGCAAACACATGATAATGTAGCATTTAAATATACAAAAAATTTCTTATAAAATCCATTGCGTTAATATTGCTACATTATTGAGTAACTGTAACTAGGCTTACTAGCTATGTTTAAAATATGTATCATATAATATTCTTGATATGCACGCACACATGTGTGTAAATTGTTCTATTATATACACTAACTTCTTATATATATTTTATTATTATTTCAATAAAATTGTGTGTGAAATATTATGTACTTATACATATAATATTTAGCTGCCCCAAAGAAGAGGTTATTATTACATAAGCTCAACTAAAAACTAAATTTATAGTAAAACTTACGTGGTTTTTTTCTGAGACATGAGGCAACATAACTCTCTAGTTCTCTAAGCGTCGATGGTTTCAAGGTCTCAAAATCGATTTCGATTTCATCTGGATTCGAATCCCTCAGTGAAGGCTCTCGGGATTGTATTATGTGTACAACACGACCTAATTTATCACCTAAAGAAAGAAACAAAACCCAAAAAAGATTAATAAAATAATTGGTATATATTTTTTATTTTTAATATTTGTTTTTATAATTTTAAATAGAATAATTTAGAATTCTTAGAAAATATATATAATATGCAAAGAAATTTGAAATCAATTACAAAAGGAAATGTTTATTATAGTAATCTTTCTTCGTCCACATAACGATCATTTTGCAAATATTAGTGTAATGATGTTGATGGAAACCAATAGATGGTTCCTATCTTGAAAACTCTTAGCAGGATTTTTATATAACATTTAATATTATAATCTGATTACCCTCTTTAAATCGACTTTTCATCATCTAATATATAATTAGGAGTTTAATGTAATTATATATATTTTTATATCTTACCTGGTAATTTATTAATATCCAAGCTGAGTTGTCTCTTTTCATCATAAGACATGGGTTTAGCATTATCTTCATCTTCCGAATCAAACGTTATTGGAGGTGGTTGGCTACCAGTATTCTTTTTCTTATTTCCAGCAGATCTGCTGTTAGCTTTCGGCCTCTTGGTTGCAGTATTCGCAGTGGTGGCAGCTTTTCCAGGTCCACGACCTTTACCTTTCGGTTTCGCATTCGCTGCTGTCGGCAAATGATGCCCTAAGCTTCCAGTAGCATGAGCCTTATTAGGTCCGACTGCTGTACTTTGATGATGGAGATCACTGCCCATGCCGCCAGGCATTTTCAAATCGCCCGCGCCCATTGCAACACTGGCTATACTAGCACCAACACTGTCAGACACGCTAGGAATACCACCGCTGGGTTTCATGAGTTCTTTCATGGCACCAGTATGACTGGCAACAAGGCTACTATTCTTATTGCTCATCGGCTTTGATTTTGGCTTATCCGGTTTCTTTTTCTTATTTTTCTTCTTACCACTCTCCTCCACTAATTTTCTCATTTGCTCTTGCATAGCTTTCAACTATGAATGGAATAAAGAATAAATTATATTTCCGCGTTTTATATTCGTATATAAGATAATCTTACTTCATTTCAACAGACAAAAAAAGATCATACCTCTTGCTGTAGAGCAAGTAACTTTTGAGTACGTTCCTCAACCGAATCGTCACTTTCAGAAGAACTCTCTCCTCCAGAACTAGTGGCACTACCACTGCTGCTTCCTTTCATAGCCACTATACTACTACCAGGTTCATCCGGAACTTTCGCATATCTAATCATATGTTTAATTATACAATTATAACTTTGTCATGCATTTAGATTTTATATTTTTGCAAGAATCTTAACACCACCAACCTCATTTCAAATATATCTTGCAGTTTTCTAGCCATTGAAACAACATCATGATCGGGAGGATTATACTTATAACAATTAGTAAATATAAGTCGTACATCACTCGCAAATTCGTGCGCTGTTTTATATTGACGGTTATCCATTTTAGTCTGTAAAAAAAAAAAAAAAAAAAAAAAAAAAAAAAAAAAAAAAATTTTTTTTTATAAAAAAATTATATATCGAACTATTATTTCAAAAAAATAAAAAGGTAAAAATAAAAAGTACAAACAAAGATATACAAAATACAGGATTATCTTTGTGTATATATATTTCTGGACACACTGTATATATCTATCCGTTTCTAAAATAGTATTTATATCAAAGTATTCGTAATATCATTGCAGGAAAAAATATACTATAAAAATAATGCTTTAATAATCTAGAATTTTTACGTTCTTAGAAAAACTGTGCAAATTAATTACACTTTATATAGCACATTGTATTTATGTTATGTTCATATAATTAAAAAATACAAACCTTCACGGTACCAAGATCCATAGGTTTCTTAATAATCTCGTGGTAGTCGTGAAGCCCTAGAAGTTCTGCATCAACAGGTTTGTAGAATGGCCAAGCATATGGCTATATATCAAGAAAAGCACATTGAATTTTACAATCCAGAATACTGTTATTCTTCGTAATACTTTATTTGTTTTACGATAAATAAAAAAAATATATATATCACAATTACCGAATGCTTTTTGGCAAAGAGTTCCTTCAAAATGTCATTGCAACATTTTAGTGCTTCAGACAACTTTTCTTTTCCCTTAACACCAGTATGCGGAGGCTGAAAAGTTATTTACAAAGATGAGAAACAAATCTTTAAGACATCAAAGTTGTACTTCATTTTATTTTTTAAATAAAAATTTATTCATATAGATAATTATATAAATCTCTGAATTTATTTTTGAAATGCATTATATATATATATTTGTATAACAAAAAGATATGATAAATCTTGTAAATTTTATTTTGTCTTACAAAACATTAAGACTCAAAGTAGTGCAAGATATGCCATAGATATATAAAATTGTCGTTTAATTAAACAAATCTAATAATTTCCGCTTGACAGATGATAAGACAACACAAATGAAAGGAAGGAATAAATGAAGGAATAGTAATAAATGTACCTGTTGGGCCATTGCCCCCATTAGAGGCATATTGGCCTGATGGTATGGCACTAAGCCGTCTTCCGCTTGCCTCGTTGGCTGAAACAGCCATGTCATGAAGAATTTAATCCATCATTTAATGATATTAATCATTATATTATTTTATTAATTCAATGGTCAATACATAATGATTAATATCATTAACGAAATGATATGACTATACATGCAAGGATCAAACATGTTTGCAAGTGTTATGATAACGTAAAATATGATAATTTGTGAACTTGTACACTTAAAAATATTTACCTATGAGAATTTTATTTGAATATTATTTATAACATATTATTTATATATTTACAATAATTTTATTTTTCAAACAATCGTGAAAATTTTTATGATTATTGATAAGATTTACACACATATTTAAAGTTAAGCAATTTTTAGAAGCAACACTCATCATTTCATACATTATACTCGATTTTTAAGTTGCAGATGCTATGGTATATCATGTCTTGTAGATGTAAACACACCCAATTTCGAATGCTTTTGATTCGAACATAAAATGTAGCAATAAAGTAATATAATAAAAAATGTGTGTGTGTGTATTACCTTTTTAATTTGCCGGCCAGACTCTCTTCTCGTAGGTATTTTAGCGTTCTTAGAATCCAGAGGTGTGTACATTGGATCGTAAGCATTCGCGGTAGGAGTTGTAGTATCAGCTTTTCTTTTCACTCCTTTTTTAAGTTTCGCAGGTTGTGATGGAGGCATTACAGTGGGCGTTGTAGGGACTTGCGGAGGTGGAGGCACAGCAGAAGCTGGTTGGGAATCCATCGCCGGCTGCGCGTGGTAACCCGTAGTCGGAGGGACAACTTGCTGAGGCAGAGAATTGTGAGTAGCCATCGGCGCGACACCCATACTCGATGGCGGAGCAATGGTGGTTGTGTTCGTGCTTCCAGGTACTGAAGCTGGTGCCTGAGTACCGAGAGGCGGCATGGGTATAACGCCGGTTGTCCCAGCCGATGTAGCGGAAGGTGTTAAATTATTCGGTACACTGGAAGTAACAGCGGCTGCACCAGAAGCTGGTCTGCCTCTACCTGCCCCTGTACTTCCTGCTAGTCCACCTACTCCTGGTCCACCGACTCTTCCAGCTTTCTTGCCTTTGGGTCCTTTCGGAACAGGTGGGTCTAATTCCACTTCTTCCTTCGGCATTTGTGCAACCTAAAGAATTGTTATGCTATTGTGTCATCCAATATGCGATAATGTTCTATGTATATTATATATATTTCTTTAATTTTTTCTTTATTAATGTTAATTTTTTATTAAATAGAAAACGTGTAGAAAGAAACAAATATTAAAGAATATACCTTTGTAAGAAATAACTTTTCGAGAGCTTGTGCCATGACCACAACATCCTCCCCTGGCTTGTTGTAGACATAGCAATTGGTGAACATAGTATTGAAATCCTGAATACATTCTTTCCCACTCCAATAATACGAATTCTCCAACCTCTTTTTGATTGTGCCCAAATCCATTGGTTTTTTGATGATTTTGTGATAATCCTTTTAAATCAAAGAATTTTTTAGCAAAGATATCCGATAATAATTTATTTATATAGATTTTCTCTATTAAAATATCTCGTAAATACTCGATACTTTTCATGCATATTTCTATGTGTATATGTATATAATGATTCGTAACACTCATTTATAATAGTTCTGCGATATAATTGTGACGTACTGGTAAATTGAGTTTCTTCGCATCGACAGGCTGCTGGAAAGGCCATGCAAATTGATGCTTCCATACTGGTTTTAAGACACCCTTTTGCAAAAATTGTAATTGATTCGTGATGCGTCCTGGACGATTCGGTGGTGGAACAACCGGCGGTTGAACTATCCCATTCACCGGTTCCAGAGGTGGTTCGTCACGTGGTGGCGGTTCCTTTGCAGGACTCGCTGGCGTCGAAGCCTTTCCAGGTGTGCTCGTCTAAATTGTTCATTATTATTTCATTGATTATACATACAAAGAGCTAGTGTATATTTCTCAATTGTATTCTTATGCATTTATATGTAATATTTAGATATCAAATAAGAGATATTAAGTTATGTGTATCAAGCACATTACGTTTTGCCAACTACAGAACTCTATTTAATACTGATTTATTAGAACCAATCATATCTCTATAGTTAATCTCATGTTAGTATCATGCATTTTAGATTAAATCGTGATAAATTTGCATGCAGACTGTTTTCAGATGAACCATGTAGTTACTCTTAACAGACTTAAACGCAATACAAAGCATCTATTAATCTCCATTTAAATTATCAATATTATTTTTACTGTTGTAATAAAATATATTAAATTCCATTATTAATAGTACATTATTAATAGTTTAATATATATAATATATTAAATTCCATTATTAAACATTTATCTTGCATATTTTGTGAAAGAAGTTATGATTTAAATTCGAAGATTTAAACAAATTTTAAATCAATAATAATTTATAATTAATAATATGCTCTTATTTATTTGATGAAGTTTTTTCAAGATTTTTAACACATTCATGTATACGAAAGTGAAATACAAGAATAATCACATGCTTCATGAAAATAATAAAATATTAAATAAAGTATATAAAAAATTTATATACACATAAGTTAAATTAGTTACAAGCTATTTTACAAGTTAAATTATTTAAAAAATTGTAAAAAAACATTTTAACTTAATTCTGAAAGAATTTTTGCGAGAAAAGCTATACAATTTTTAAAAAACAATTTATTATTTATTTATTCATTAAAACCAAGGACTTTTTTATTCTTAACTTCTTTCTCTCTTTTTTTCTCTTGTATATTAAGTTTTAGTTAGATTAGATATCTTAAAATTTTTATTGCAACAAGTATTGTAATACATTTACGTAAATCACGTGTACACGCGAAAAAATTAAGAAAAAAAATTTTATTACTACTTTATTAAAATTAATTAATAAGAACTTTTAATTACCATATCTTTTAGTATTTTCCTTCCATAACAGGTACAACAAAATATTTCTTTCGCAGTGATTCACACACGTGGTCCGAGACCGAAATACCGAAACTGATACGTCGGTTGAAATTTGATTAATTTTCTTTGCTCGATACATCTCGGTTGAAGTTGCAATTTTCTTTGCTTTCTTCGGACGATTTTGGATATACACTCATTTTCCATATTAAGTGCAAGTAAAATAAATATATGTAATTATATTAAACTTTGGCAACGATCTAACATGTGTGGGTAGACACTCAACGCCATTTCCTGTATGCACTGCGCGCAGGAAACGTTACATCTACTACCTTTGGTGTTTTAACCCTGTAGAGAGGGGATAATACAACAAAAGCGTTCAGAACAATTGGGCAATTCAAAATTTTACCGTTTTACGAAACGGAGTCCTAGGATCATTGAGCATATAATAAGGAGTCTATTCAAATCTTCTAAAAAATTCTCTGATTTGCCAGATAATTTCGTTGAAAATTTATAAGATATTAGGGATTTATTAAATGCAATTTTCTAAAATAACAAATTTAATCCCTTAATTTTCTGAAATAAGTTTTTTGTGTGCGTTTTCTAATACTTTTTTTTTAATAGCAAATCTCATATTAAAAATAAAAAATTCATTAAAAAAAAAAAAAAAACTTAAGCTCGAAATATTAGATTTGAAAATATACTGAAAAGAACTGAATGGCTTTTCTGCGTTCGAGAAAAATGCAATGAGAACTCTCTCATTTTTCTAGGTAAAAGAGAAATCTTTTCGAATTCCAAGTTTTTCCAAGGAGCAGACATCTTCATAAGTATGAATGTTCATGTAAACACACACATACACACACACACACACACACATGGATTCGAGTCCAAATATTATTATTACATTATTTAACATTTTCAGGTGCAATATTTAGAAATATAGAATTGGAGCTTGACCTTAAATATTAACATTTGAATGGATAAAGGATTTTATCTATCAAAGAAAAATATAAACATGGAAAGCTTTACTACATTATATTTTTGGTAACAGAAATCAGAAATAATCGTGACAGAAACAGAAAGACGACGTGCGATTCATACACATGCGATACATTAAAGCAGAAAATCTTTTTTTGAAAATTTATTCTTTGAATTTTGTTTTTTATAGAGAGAATGATCATCTCGTTTCACGATAATGATCACAAATCATATTGTTGAAAAATTGAATTCTCTTGTTAACTTAAAAAAAAAAAGTTTTTTTTAACTTTTACCTCATCGATAAAACAATAATAAATTGTCCTATATATGTGTATCACACATTTGTGCAAATCGTAACAACTAAATACATAAAATACAAAATAATAAAAATAGAATTCACAATATAAAGAAAAAGTTTGTTAAAGAATTTTTATATATAATAAATAATAATAAAATAGAACATTTGATAATGCGTGTATATATACACACATGTATCCACATATAAACTTATATGCATTCGTATGTGTGTGTGTGTGTGTGTAAGTTTATATAAATATATATCTCAGAATATAGCACATTTTATAAATTATGAAATTTATAACTTCATTTAATACTGATATATATATACCTATACATGCTGACTATACTGACTATACTACAATTATAAACGTCAGTATCGTGCTTTTTCAGATTATTAATCACGACACATTTATATATGCAATGTTTGAAAATTGCTTTACTATTATAAATATATATTCATGCTTAACATAAGATACTTATTGAGATATATCTCTTTATAAATTTTCTTATGTTTTTAATACACGAAAGATATTAAATTCTGCATTACGCATGTATGATTGCATACATACAGTAACAAAATGTATTAATTTTAAACAAATAAATTCATCGAAAGGATATAATGTATTCTTTATATGCTATTATATCAAAATTTCTTTTAAAATCTTAAATAAAATTAATAAAAAATTATAAATTAAATTCTAAAAAAATATGCAATCAAAAATCATTTAATTCTTAAAGATTTTTCGTAAAAAAATTAACCTTATAAATTATAATATTTATAAAAATAACATTTAAGCTAAGTTAAGTAAGATCAAGTTTTCTGAAATTTTTCTAAAATTCATGTGCAAAATTGTTATTACATCAAAGTATAGAATATCATTAATATTATAATTACATATATAATATCAAAATAAAAGATTTTCTTTAATGAGTCTTAAAACACATTCACTCAATATTCAATAAAAAATATGTTTCCTAGGAACGATTAAAAGACAAATTCTATTGAATAACAAATTCCGAATCATTGAGTCTCAATCATTTTTGCACCAAATATATCATTTATGATTAACTCTGACATATAGTTAAACATCAAAGGGAGGCCTAATTTATTATTGTAATTGCATTTTTTGCACTTAACATGAAATGAATGTACACTTAATCTCCGGAGGGAAAAATGAGCATAGAAAATTTAAGTTGCACAACAGTGCAACTTAAAAAAACAGAGTTTAAGCACATTTGTCAATGCTTAAATTACCACACGCACAATGATCTCTTCATTTGACAATCAGAATATTGTTTATATATGTGCGTACGATTTTAATAGCTAAATATGCATAAAAAAGAAAATAAAAAATAATAATCAATAATAAATAATAATAAATAATAAAATAAAAATAATAATAATACGAAATACTAAAAATAGGATTGAGATAGAAACAATTTTTGTTAACATATTTTGTATAAAAATAAAATATAAATAAACAAAAGTGTTTCTTTCTCTCTCTCTAATATAATGAATGTAAATATATATATATACAAAAAATTTTTCTCTATTAATGGAATGCATTGTAAGTTAATGATCCCATCCATGCAGCGAGCGAATTAGGCTGCTATATATTTAATTTCCATAACCACAGGCAAGCAATTTGGAATTTTGCAAGAAAACGTTTATTAGAAACTTATAATAAAATCTAAAATCAGGTGAGAATTTAGAAATGAAATATAATGGCACTTTCATATAGCTCATGCAAAAAATTTACAGGAAAATATCTTTATATCTCATTAAATTAAAAATAATTTGATCAATAATTAAAATATAAGATTATACGTTCAAAAACATAAAATGGCATATAAGCTCTAAATATTGATATATGATTATGCTATATTAATACTAGACAACATAGCGAGCAAAGCGAAAGAATCTTGCTTCTATAATAATATTAATGATTTTCATAATTGTATAACAATATTTATATTGAAAAAATATTTATAAGATTTATTATCTCTGTATGAATATATATACTTTATAGATTATTTATTAATATTTATTTATAAGCTTATATGTATATTATTTTGACTACTATTGACAGAATAAAGCGAAATTATAGATTACTCATAACAGTTAGTTGCCAATTCATATTTCAACAACTATCCTAGTTGAGACTATAGTCAACAAGGTATCTCACCTTCGGTATATTACACAGCCTTTCTCGCTCCTCCACATCTAACTGTAATTCATATATACTATTCAGTCAAAACAATGCTCTTTTTTAGTATGTTAAGAGAGTATGTACATATATATATATATATATATATGTAATGTTATGCAAGAAATGGAATTTGCGAACACAATATTAGAGATTATGTGTATCGAGACATGTGGGAAATAATAAAAATAAAAAATATATTACACAGCCATAAAATATAATAAAATAGCAACATGTAAAAAAGGTGCTATTTGTAATAAAATATTGAATATATAATTTATATACAATTGTTTCAAGATAAGTGAAAAAGAGAGGACTATCTTTAAAACAACTTTATTTAACAAATTGTATTATAAATAATAATGCTGTGTAATATGTAATATGCATCGAAAACTACATGGGATGTGGTGAATAGTATAGATATATCACAGAATGTAATGCAGTTTGAAGTATTGCGTAAGTAAGTTAGTAAGCAAACTGCATATATTCTACACTATTGCATAATATTAATTACTTACAGAATTGTTCTGCGAGATAGTGTCCACCTGCTGCATCTTGACTTCGTTTCTGCAACAGAAAGAAAATAACATGAGTTTTATTTGTAAAATAAAAAATTAGAACAAAATAGAAACTATCGTGTTAGTTACATTGCATGACACTCATGTACCAAAGCATAATTTATAAAGTATAGTATGCTAACTTTGAGAATAAGAGCCAGAATTAGTCAATCCTATCTAGTAAACTACATTATCATTTGATAAAAAGAACACTAATGCTTATCTTTGACTCTATTTTGTATACATTCCCACATTTTTTTCATTCACTTTTCCCAAAGTTGAAATTTACCGAGTCTTTCTGAAGACTATATTTTCTCGATTTAACAATCCATGTAATCTAACATCTTTGTAAAGCAAATGTATCGAAGATACATTTGAGCGCTTACTAAATGTGTTCAATGCTTGTCATATAGATATATATATTTCTTTCGATTAAAATCGTTTATAATATATGCTCATTCAGGTCACGATAATGAGCTTCACCTACCTTTCCGACATATATGATACATAAATGCTATGTAGCAGGTAACTGCCTTACGTTGATGCTTGACGCTATGAGGCTTCATCAACAATTGAGATGGCAAGTATATATTCTTAATTGAACATAGCAGCTCATTAATTGCTTGCCAAGACGATTGCGCTGCGACCAGGAAGATTGGTGCCGAGGAGGCATAACACTACTCAAGTCTACCGAATGGTAGCACTTTGAATGTCAGCCCTGTATACTGCTGTGAGACTCCGTACCTCCAGGTAAGACTCGCGACATTAGCAACATCTGGATAACATAACAATAGGACCCCATATTGTAACAACCCCACAAAATTTTCATTGCTTTAGAATGATTTGTATATTGAGATATACTTTCAAGAAATTTATATATGTAATTTTTATTATTTAACATATCATGCAAAACTGAATCTATATATAGTAGGTACATGCTGGAAAAGCAAAATCTATTTCTCTTACTGTGTATTGCTATATATTGACAGATTATCAATAGAAATATGGATGCAAATTATTCTCTGTTGTTTCTCTCAAGAATATTGTATTGGTATATTATTTATGAAAATTGAAATATTATTGTGCTGTTACGATAAGTACTAATGCAAAATTAAATATATATAGGCTGAATGTTACGCAATAAAAATTTTCAAGTTTAATATAATTATATTGTGCTATTTAAATGTAACATTTATAATTTCTGTATATTACTTATGTAAAATATTTAAGAAAAAAGAAAATGTGAGAGAGACTGTACATAAGTTTGTTTTCTCTCAAAATTTCTCTTGATATTTTTTCAATACTTTCAAAGATACAAGTTGATTTTAAAAATTTCTCTATCTTAACTATATATATACACATTTCTTATATATATTATTTGAGAAAAGAATGTGATTATTTTTATAGATACATATAAACTAAAAGACATTAATTTATACCAATCATTTATATCACTGCCTAATTTAATTCTATGCAAAAGGAACGTTCAATGATCACAACTAAAATTGTACAACTTTCAGCGATACAATTTTGTACTTGTATGAAGCAGCTAGGACTTTTTACAAGGAAACATACAATAGATTTGTCAAACATTACACATTTGATAATTGAAATTCTATGAAAGATTCTCCAGCCCGCAGTCGAATCCGGAACTGGGTTACAAGATACATTTCTGTCGTATCTCTCGCAGTTCCTCAATGGCCAGGATAAGCCAAAATGGAAAGTTTGACAAAAGTAGCACAGATAAACGGTACACTGGTCTAGAAAGTGAGGTGGCTATTAAAATGCAAAATTGGCAGTGCGCAAGGGAAGACTACGACACATCGCGACTGTTAAATTTCGGCCGTCCGTAGACAAGAGGAATCTTGCCCAGAACAGTCCACGCGGCGAAGAAGCCGCGAGGTCGCGGCGAGCCAGGGTATCAAGGGCAGAGATAGATAAGAGATCTCGCGCTTGACTCGAACAGGTGCTCGAACGAGACATTCGAGGATAGGAGAGAGGAGAAAGGCGAGAATCCACGGACGAGTAACCGCGAAAAGGAGGACGATGACGACAACAGCGGTGGCGGCAACGGCAAAACGGCGGCGATCGAATAGGAAGAGGTGGAGGACGAATAATAGTAGAGAACCGCGCGAGGGGAAGAGTGGAGTTCTGGGGATTCCGCGCCCAGCCGATTCGCATCCAGTCGACGCACAACAAACACGAGCAAGCCATCCGCGCGGATAATCCAACCAACCAACCAACCAAGTCAGTCAGTCAGTCAAGTGAACGAGGCGACTGGCGCCACGGTGAGAGAGGGATAGAAAAAGAGAGAGAGAGAGAGAAATGACGCCGAGAATTCACGCCGCGACGACACACGCGAGAAGCGAGAGCCGGGACAAGCCGGGGCCGGGATCTCTCTGCCGCGCGCGCGGTAATTCAGACTCACCGGACAACTCGATTCGGCGGCGGTAGGTCTCAACATGGCGGTACGGCCGTTTGGGAAAGAAAGCTCCCAAGGGCCCGCTCATGCACCGCCACCGCCACCGTCACCGCCACCGCCGCCGCCGCCGCTGATGCCGCCGCCGTCGCTACTACTATATACGCGTCACCACACGCGCTTACACACCTATTATTCCGCGTAACCGCGATTACGACTCCGTCGGGGCATTTGATCGGGCGTTCGGCCCGCGCGATCGCTTACCTGATGAACGGAAGTCCACGGGAACTCAATCGTAAAACACTACCACTACGCCTCGAGGGGAACACTCCGGCGCTACGCTTTCTCCTTCGCTCGTTTAGTTTGGTTGGTCGCTCGGTGTTATGGCGGCCGCGCGAGTAAGTGCGCGCCCCAAACCGTATATATCACTCACTCACTCACTCTCTCACTCGTGCGACGAGCGCCTCGGTTCGAGGGAACGCGCGGAGACGCGGTATCCGAGTCCTCGCGACAACTAGTCCCACCGTGATACACACTCGACGAGAAACTCGTCTCCTACGCGAGGAGCTCTATCACGTTATACGTATCAGTGACACGCGCCGAACCCCGACAACGTTCTCACGCAGCTAAGCGCGGTCGAATCCGTGCCCATGACGATCTCGGATCTAGAAACCAACGATCGCAGCACCAACAATGGCTACGCATTCTTCCGCGACGTACCGAAATGGTCCTATTCCGTCGTTCCGCGCGCACGACCTGTGTCCGTCCACCTCCCTCGTCGCCTCGTAAACCCGAGCGTCCACGAATCGGGCCGAGCGCGCCCGAGGACGAGCGCGCCAATTTCGAAACGTCACAAGCGCGACCGATCTCGTTCAACGGTTCGAGACACCTCTTGTCGGTCGTCGGATGTAATTGAGAGCCAGACCTATCGAGGGACTCGAGGGGGCATTTTCTTCACCGAGATTCGATAAGATACCTTTACCCTGGGCGGCTCGTTGTTGCAACATCCACCGCTGTGTCCCTTTTGACGCGATAAGAAACACAAATAACCTATTTCGACATCAATATCTTTATATTTATCGAGGAAAATAAATTCTTTTTATCGGAGAAAATATAAAATAATGAATCACATATCATAGCACGCATTCTTTTCATTCTTCCTACGATTCTTACTCTAATGCGTTAGTATAGGAACACGTGGGTAAGTTTCTAGAAACTTCACACGTAATATCCGAGCGTTGAGAAATATCCGATGAGAGATGTATCAGCTTTGAATATACCAACAAAATATATGTATATATATTTATTATATGGCATTCAACGTAAAGACAATAGAAATATATATGTGTAATACTCATAAAACTTTATTTGCAGAGGTATATGCATGTATATACGTGTACACTTCATTAACCAATCCGAAAATTAACGGTTAATTTCCGTCGTTCCATGTTCACCCATAATGCACTTTTTTCGACGGGCACGATATAAAAATCGATCGTTTTCTAAACAATAATGATAAATAGTTCGTCTATCAATCGGAACTCGTGTCACGCCAAAGAGCGCGCGGCGATTAATCTGTCGAAATAAGAAATCTAACCTTGCTAAGTTATATTACATCAATCGCATGATCGCATCGTCGAGTAACGGTCCGATTCCACGATTCTGCCGTTGCCACGCGACGCATCATGGGAAACGTGCAGGGCGCAAAATCCATAATTACCGACCTTAGGAGTACCGACCGCGTTTCCGACACAATGTTCCACAGGTCGTAATTAACGTGAACAGATGTACACCGCAGATTTTAAGAAGTCGATAAGCACGTGGCGATATTTCCGCGCGACTCAACGTAACGTTTCGCACCGTGACGCGTACGTCGTCATCGATGCCGTATCGTTCCGTTAGCGCTCGATCAATATGGCGATAATACGTAGACGCTTGACCTTTACCTCGACCCGTCACACGCCGTTGATAAACTCCGAACGAACGTGGGGAGCATCGGGAGAGACGCGTCGACGTCGTCCGTAATGTCGTGCGATTGCGTCACGTATCGTTGTTTAGAATTCGCGAAAAGCGATTGTTGTCTCATCGGCGTCGGCAGATATCGTGGACTCGTGACACGCCACTACGAAAGTCAAATGAGGTGCCGAAACGTTGGACCCCGTCGCCATCAAAGAAGCATGCTCACGAGAAATATATCATAATTTACAACTAACATTCTTCGGTCCATCTGAAGATTTTTTCGTGTGACAGCTGACACGTGTGTCGCAACGGCGTCGCGTAGTTCACGGCCACAAAATGGCGATGTCTCGTAGTATATATGTGCGTTGAACCACTCGACGCGATCACACCTCTCTCTCTCTCTCTCACTCGGAGACTGACTAACTTCTCACTACGTATGTAATCGCGATACGCAGGCAGCGTCGTACGTATATCTCGGATACGGCGGCTTCTCGCGACGCACGAGACAGCGGGAGGAGCTCTGTTTATATATAATTCAGCGTATTCTTGATGATTGATAAAACCCACTTCTGCGCTTTCATGACGTAATGAAATACGAAAGTCAAAAAAGAAATACATACGACGTATATACGTAGACATGCGGTGGAACGTCGAACTCTGCGCGTTTCCCTGTTTCCGGCTGTATTTAACCCCGCGTTCTGAGCTACGATTGGCTCGTGCTCGATAGGTTTCGGATGCGACCCAATCGTCTAAGAGCTTCTAAATATTGATGAGTCATCGCGTTTACACCAATAGAAATAACGATAAGTTTTCATTATCCTACCCGACTAATGTGAAACCTTGAAATTTTTCAAAAGATATATATCGACGATTACATAAAAGTGAAAGTTTTTACTTCGTTTTATCTGTAGTATCATATAAAAGAAATTTTCCAAACGATTTCGACTGTCGATTCGAAGAAAACCAAGGATATAAGACTATCACGAATAAACAATTTTTTCTTTTTTATATTAGGAATTTTTAATGTCGTATTTACGAAACAGCCATTAAAATAAATAAATACAATACATTTTTATTATCTTACCTGCCTAAAGATAGAACTTTTGGAAATTTTCAAAAAAAAGGTCTTAAGAAGTCATAAAACACTGTCATAAAAGTGAGTTTTTTTCTTTGTAGTATCAGGTAAAAGAAATTTCCCAAAAGATTTCAACTGTACATTAAAGAAATAGCCGTACAATAAATCGTTACGAGTAAAAAAAATTTTTTTTTAGTCCCTTATTTTTGATCGCGAATTATTATCAGAGAACTTTGACATAATGCAAGATTATTTATCAATATGTGATTATATAGAATTAGCCTAAGTAATTGCATAATTGGATACAATGTCGTAAAAAAATAAAATAAAGATAAAATATTTAAACAAATTTATTTTTACTAATTTAACATAGAGCATTGTTTAGATTTCAGAGGAACTTACAAATTAAATAGCTGACATATATATGTCACATTTTTTGCAATTCAGTTGTTTTTTTTACAAAAAGCCTAGCCCTTTATAAAACGCCAATCTATAAAATTTTGGCATTTTACAAAAAAGACTTTTTATTAAACAATACCCCAAACTTCTTCAAATGCTGTACATAATTTGCTACATGTAACAGCACCTGAGAGAGGATAGTTACTGATAGAGATGGTATCCTCTGTATAATCTGTTTTAACCTAAAAAAAAGCAAATATATATAAAATATCCACAATACAGCTTTTAATATAATAGTATATAGAGAGAGCAACATTATTTAATATAATATAATATGATGTAATAATTTACTTGGCCATGTGCCATAGCTCCAACTACAATAGCAATTGGATCTTCGGAAGGTACAAACTCGCGTGGATTTAATACTTTGTTTGCACTAAATGACATCAATATCTTATGGCAACCAACAGGCAAATGATCCGATATAGGATTCTTAATTACTTTAAGAAGCTTCATTGATCCATCAGATGCTCTAACACCAAATTTATGCAATAGTTGCACTGCAATATAATATTTACTATGTTAATAATGAGTTTACTGATTATATGATAAGAGATAAACGCTGATTGTACACACTTACCCATTAATCCAGCAAAGCGCTTGAATGTTCTTGGTATCCTAGTCTGTGGATGAATTTCTATCAGTACATTTTTTTCTGTATGAATATAGACTTGCAATAGTCCAGCTCTATTTAATGGACTGTCCATCAACATTAATAAACATTGGTGAACAATGTCTGGTCTGCATGTGCCTGGATCACGATTGTTTTTCTTTAAAATATTTATATGATCATCACAGTTTAATAGCTCAAAACTGTTTCCAACCTGAAAGAAATGCGAAAGTATAAAATTAATTCGCTTTTATTTACTGAGCTTACAAGTATCGTAAAAATTTATACAAATGTAATAAACTGATAATAATTGTATATAAGTACAAAGTTAATTTCATGAATGCAAAGAAATAACTAATAATGATAAGTAAAAGGCTTGAATTCTGTAAATATTTGTAGATATAAAAAAAGAAGCCATAACCTTACTTTCACAGATTCTAATTGAGCATTCTCCAATATCACAACCAGACGCTTTTCTTGATTCCTTATATGACCTATTTGCAAATGTTTCGGAGCGGGATCGTATTCGTAATCATTTTCATCTTGCTTTTTTCTTTTATTCCCCATTTCGTACGTTCACAAATTGATGCACATGTGGCTACTGTCACTGACTAATCTTATGTCAGCGTAACTCGCTGCGTGCTACTGTAGGTAAGTAAAGTTATATTACATCAATCGCATGATCGCATCGTCGAGTAAAGCCCGTATCAGACTACACATTGAAGATTCAGATTGAAGACTCAAGATTGAAATTTGACCAATCAGAATAAAGAAATTTTAGTCCCTTTTGTTCTGATTAGTCAAATTCCAATCTTTAATCTTCAATCTTCAATTTTCAATGCGTAGTCTGATACGGGCTTAACGGTTCGATTCCACGATTCTGCCGTTGCCACGCGACGCATCATGAGAAACGTGCAAGGCGCAAAATCCATAATTACCGACCTTAGGAATACCGACCGCGTTTCCGACACAATGTTCCACAGGTCGTAAATAACTTGAACGATTTTAAAAAGTCGATAAGCACGTGGCGATATTTCCGCGCGACTCAACGTAACGTTTCGCACCGTGACGCGTACGTCGTCATCGATGCCGTATCGTTCCGTTAGCGCTCGATCAATATGGCGATAATACGTAGACGCTTGACCTTTATCTCGACCCGTCACACGCCGTTGATAAACGCCGAACGAACGTGGGAAGCATCGGGAGAGACGCGTCGACGTCGTCCGTAATGTCGTCCGTAATGTCGTGCGAATGCGTCACGTATCGTTGTTTAGAATTCGCGAAAAGCGATTGTTGTCTCATCGGCGTCGGCAGATATCGTGGACTCGTGACACGCCACTACGAAAGTCAAATGAGGTGCCGAAACGTTGGACCCCGTCGCCATCAAAGAAGCATGCTCACGAGAAATATATCATAATTTACAACTAACATTCTTCGGTCCATCTGAAGATTTTTTCGTGTGACAGCTGACACGTGTGTCGCAACGGCGTCGCGTACTTCACGGCCACAAAATGGCGATGTTTCGTAGTATATATGTGCGTTGAACCCTTAGAACATATATAAATGGAAGGGGAATAGCAGGCTGAAAAGTGTCGAAGAAAGTGAGAAAGAAATCGTAGTTGCCTCTCTCTTGTGAGTTACTTTGCTCAAAAGTGCGCATGCGCACTTTTGAGCAAAGTAACTCACAAGAGAGAGGCAACTACGATTTCTTTCTCACTTTCTTCGACACTTTTCAGCCTGCTATTCCCCTTCCATTTATATATGTTCTAAGGTTGAACCACTCGACTCGATCACACCTCTCTCTCTCTCACTCAGAGACTGACTAACTTCTCACTACGTATGTAATCGCGATACGCAGGCAGCGTCGTACGCATAGACATAGTATATCTAGACCGAGCGTTTGCCTTTATTTAAGGAGTGGGGGTAAAGATACACGTAGAAAAGGACATACTCTATTTCGTGTCACTTGCGTTCTTTCTCGCTCGCACAGAGCATAGCGCTCTCTTTCGTCATGCTATGTGCGAGCGAGAGAGAACGCAAGGGGCACGAAACAGAGTATGTCCTTTTCTATGTGCACCTCGGCTCCCACTCCTCAACACTCGGTCTAGATATACTATGTCTATAGTCGTACGTACATCTCGGATACGGCGGCTTCTCGCGACGCACGAGACATCGGGAGGAACTCTGTTTATATATAATTCAGCGTATTCTTGATGATTGATAAAACCCACTTCTGCGCTTTCATGACGTAATGAAATACGAAAGTCAAAAAAGAAACACATACGACGTATATACGTAGACATGCGGTGGAACGTCGAACTCTGCGCGTTTCCCTGTTTCCGGCTGTATTTAACCCCGCGTTCTGAGCTACGATTGGCTCGTGCTCGATAGGTTTCGGATGCGACCCAATCGTCTAAGAGCTTCTAAATATTGATGAGTCATCGCGTTTACACCAATAGAAATAACGATAAGTTTTTTTCTTTGTAGTATCAGGTAAAAGAAATTTCCCAAAAGATTTCAACTGTATATTAAAGAAATAGCCGTACAATAAATCGTTACGAGTAAAAAAATTTTTTTTCGTCCCTTATTTTTGATCGCGTATTATCATCAGAGAACTTTGACATAATGCAAGATTATTTATCAATATGTGATTATATAAAATTAGCCTAAGTAATTGCATAATTGGATACAATGTCGTAAAAAAAACAAAATAAAAATAAAATATTTAAACAAATTTATTTTTACTAATTTAACATAGAGCATTGTTTAGATTTCAGAGGAACTTACAAATTAAATAGCTGACATATATATGTCACATTTTTTGCAATTCAGTTGTTTTTTTTACAAAAAGCCTAGCCCTTTATAAAACGCCAATCTATAAAATTTTGGCATTTTACAAAAAAGACTTTTTATTAAACAATACCCCAAACTTCTTCAAATGCTGTACATAATTTGCTACATGTAACAGCACCTGAGAGAGGATAGTTACTGATAGAGATGGTATCCTCTGTATAATCTGTTTTAACCTAAAAAAATGCAAATATATATAAAATATCCACAATACAGTTTTTAATATAATAGTATATAGAGAGAGCAACATCATTTAATATAATATAATATGATGTAATAATTTACTTGGCCATGTGCCATAGCTCCAACTACAATAGCAATTGGATCTTCGGAAGGTACAAACTCGCGTGGATTTAATACTTTGTTTGCACTAAATGACATCAATATCTTATGGCAACCAACAGGCAAATGATCCGATATAGGATTCTTAATTACTTTAAGAAGCTTCATTGATCCATCAGATGCTCTAACACCAAATTTATGCAATAGTTGCACTGCAATATAATATTTACTATGTTAATAATGAGTTTACTGATTATATGATAAGAGGTAAACACTGATTGTCCACACTTACCCATTAATCCAGCAAAGCGCTTGAATGTTCTTGGTATCCTAGTCTGTGGATGAATTTCTATCAGTACATTTTTTTCTGTATGAATATAGACTTGCAATAGTCCAGCTCTATTTAATGGACTGTCCATCAACATTAATAAACATTGGTGAACAATGTCTGGTCTGCATGTGCCTGGATCACGATTGTTTTTCTTTAAAATATTTATATGATCATCACAGTTTAATAGCTCAAAACTGTTTCCAACCTGAAAGAAATGCGAAAGTATAAAATTAATTCGCTTTTATTTACTGAGCTTACAAGTATCGTAAAAATTTATACAAATGTAATAAACTGATAATAATTGTATATAAGTACAAAGTTAATTTCATGAATGCAAAGAAATAACTAATAATGATAAGAAAAGGGCTTGAATTCTGTAAATATTTGTATATATAAAAAAAGAAGCCATAATCTTACTTTCACAGATTCCAGTTGGGCATTCTCCAATATAATAACAAGACGCTTTTCTTGATTCTTCATGGTGTAAGTAACAAGGTGTGCTATCTTCTTCTTCTTCTTCTTCTTGTGAATGGCACCGGGCCTGAGATATACAGGCCCATACGGCCAAGTCGATGAATATAAATATCGCTAATGTTGTAGAGATCAAGTTGTGGGTTAGTATCAGAAATTTTATTTAGATGAGAGTTACTGATAGGATGCTACAGAAAGAATTCCTCTTTAGAAGGAGAATAGAATTCAAAAATAAGGTCCAAAAGACACACGCGTAACGTGTCTGAACACGACAGTACTCGACCTTCTGCGCAGCACCAAGTTTCCGCCATCTTGCAAAATCACCATAGCAACCGATAAGCAACGTGACGATAAATGGCCGCGTTCAGCAGAGAGAGCGCTCAGTTATCGGTTGCGTTCCGTTTCACGCATTGAGCGCATAGATCGCCTGGAAATCTATAATATATGTTACATGAACTATAGATTTCTAGGCGATCTATGCGCTTAATGCGTGAAACGGAACGCAACCGATAACTGAGCGCTCTCTCTGCTGAACGCGGCCAATGTTAACGAAATAGTCTCATGATACACAGGTTATGCACAGTTTTGCAGCAGTTGAGTTTTGTGAATGCAATACAAAAAAAAATTCAAAAATAAAAAGTAATTTCATTTTTATTATATCTTCTATATTGTTTATTATGTGTTATGTATTCTCTATCGTTTTTATTATATTTATTGTTTCTTATATGTGTTTATGTATCTTATATTTGTTTATTTATATTTATGTGTTTGTATTTATTATTTTCTAAAAATATATTCACCATAATTATAATTACACACGAAATATCTTTCATTAAAATTCTCTCTTGCCCGAATCTTTATTTTAATATCCATTTAAATTATACAAGAATCGGGGCGATGCGTGACGCCGGGCGTAGAGTCGCAGGCTGGTAATCGAGAGATTCTAGATTCTAGGTTCGATTCCGCTCAGGTCCCATTCTCCCACACATGCCTCAAAAAGACCCAGTTTTATAGCCGTATGGCGAGTATTCGCCGGTGCCAACCCTATACGAAGCAAGCAAAATTATACAAGATGGCGGCGGAATCTTGTGCACATGTGGCTACTGTCACTGACCAATCTTATGTTAGCGTAACTCGCTGCGCGCTACTGTAGGTAAGTAAATCTTTGCGTTGTCGGTAATAAAACAATGATTTGATACAACAATAAAACATTTATTTCGTTATTCTTGAGACAGCTACATAAAAGATCTACACATTTTTGATAATAAAACAATAACTAGATGAGTTAAAATATTCGTATAATTAAACTCATGTAATTATCTTGAATTGCTGTCAAAACGGCCGGTAATGTTATCAATTATCTTCGGTCTCACCGAGCTCAGTTGACGAAAATTCACCCATGATTGGGATCACTGGCGACTACTCGAGTTTAATACTCACATAGAATCGTAATAATCCAAAGATTATATTTTTTAATACAAGCATTGCTTACGTTATGGATTGAAATATAATCTACTGTATAATCTAGGTTAACACATGAAATAAAATTAATAATATGGACATTGTCAAAGATACAAAGACAGAGCACGTTGCTCTGATAGATAGCAAGGAAGAGAGAGAATCATGTACTGACAAAGTAAAGTCTGAAACTACACGACTTAGTCATCAAGAATTAATAAAATTGACTAGAATGACTATAGATAACATGATCAAGGATGATCCATTGCTCTGCGGATTGCCTTCGGATGTTACGATGGAGGAAGTTAAATCACAAATTGCAGTTGTGCAAGGACAAGCTATAACTTTATTCTTAAATCGCGGAGAACTGCCAAAGCTCGCAGTAGTGGTAATGTTCATTTACATCTTATACTTGTCATCAATTTATTAAATTGATTGTCTCATTAATACGATCTCATTTTTTCTATTTTGTTTTTAAGATTCCGCCACATAATACAACAGTGCTTGACTTGAAAAAGGCTATAAAGCGACATATGAATTTATCCTTGGAAAGAGAGAATGTCAAGAAGAAGATAAGTTGGAAACATATTTGGAAGAAATATCATCTTTGTTTTGAGGATATCAGACTTACTAATGACAATGAAAATATTAAAGCTTATAATATCACTAATAAAGCGGAATTACATTTTGCAAAGAGACGAAGAGAAAAGAATAAATTGCTAAAAGATTAATAGCATTTTTGCATAAATTATTATTTTATCTATTGTCAATATTTTATATATTTTTAATAATACTTCTCTCAAACATTCTTAATTTACAATGCTATGGTAATTGAGATTGCATAAATAATATTTAAATATTGAATAAATGTATATATAATATAATGATATATAAGTATGAGATGGATATATTTTGTAATATATAGAAATATTAATTATTTCTTATATTTTACCCATTCTAGTTTTTTCATTAGCATTACTCGTTTAGTTTTTCAGGTATATGAATTTCACAAGTCAAGTTGGGTATACAATCCTCCAACATGAAACAAGTTAGCTCGAATGCAACGGATTTATAATGATTTGTTACGATCAGTGTCTTTAAATTAGACATTCTATACAAAGATTCCAATCCTCTCTCGGTGATCTTCTCACAGCTGGAGATATTCAAGTATTCCAATTCCGGGAATTCCGCCGAGATCTTGTCCAAGCCCCAGTCATCGATGTTCTTACAGTTCTTGAAACTGAGCCATTTGAGCTTCTTGAGGCCGCACAAATTACTCAGACCTTCGTAATACAGGTCGACATTACTGGCGTCCACTGCCTCGAGGATGTAGTGGAAATCATACTTGGCAGGTAAATCACACGAGCCTTTCTCGTCCTTCTCCGTCCAATTAGTGTTACCCTTGAATTTTACCCGGCCACCGCGATATATGATAAAGTGAGCAGTGGCCAGATCGGCGCCTAACACCTCATGTCTCTCCGGTATGAATCTCTGGTTGAGTTTGCTGTATGCAGATACTTGATGCGCAAACCATTTCGAAATATTACCGAAGGAGAAATCTGTCTCCTTGCTCGCCTTCATGGGAAACCACATAATATTCGTAGGCTTTTTCGGATCATTCTTGGACATGTTTTCCCTTTCTCTCATTGAGTATTGGGTTTTTTCATGATTCAAGCCATACGCACGTGCTACCCGAGAGAGCGAGTGATCTTGAAAGCACGGTCGTTTACTCAGCACGCATGTTAATCGTCTCGCTAGCATTATTATCGGTGAAAACTTGAATGAATTCTATCTTTGGAGGTTAATTTTTTAAATCGATGAATCTACCACGCCATCCGCCATGCGTGGTATTCTAACTTTACTTTAACCTAACCTAACTTAGCTGTCAAACAATGCGTAAGAATCTTACACAGGAAAATCTGAATAAATGCGTACGTGTGTGTGTTGTCAGTTTTCTAAAATTATATATTTTTTTGCATATAGAAACATATATCTATTTTGTACATAAATTTTCGAGACATCAGATTACCATAATGATTAACTACAATAATTACGATTATTTATGTAAAATTGCTAAAAAAAAAAACAATAAATGGAACATTGCACTTTTCTCGAGTAATAAAATGTTTAAACAGAAATATAAATCGATTAAAGCTATTTGTACATCATAACATCAGGGGATTGGTACATGCACATATACGCATCGCAAAGTAAACGTTTTGCATGTTCTGGTAAATGACGATCATCCGTCAATTCGGTCAAATAATTTCCTCCCTCTTCACTCAACCAGTAGGGAAAATCTGGACATGGCACCATTTCTGGTATATTATATCCATTTTGCTCTCCTAATAATAAAAAACAAATTTATAACTAAAAATATATAATTAATTATAATCATTTTAATATTTATAGAAATTTTTTCTTTGTGTGCAATCAATAATACATTTATAAATTAATAATCTGATCAAAGCTTCTCGTTATATGTACAAAAAAAATTATTTTATCAAAAATGATATAAATATAAGTCGATTACCTTTTCTATCGGCCATTGAATCAAAGAAACACCATGGCGCCTCCGAACCGGGACCACATTTTACAAACGAGACATAATGTGAGGTTTCGATGCAAACCACCGCGGAAAGTTCCAAATACAGACGCGGTACGGGACAATGTTCTTGCAGAATTGCGAACTCCATAGGTACAATCAGCTTCTTCGGTTCGTGATTTGTTCTTCGTTCATGACGATGTACCTAGAAAGAATGTAAAAAGTAATTCATTTCCAAATGTTTAATGTCATTGTATATATTCATTCAATCTCGCAAATAATACTTTACAAACTTTTTCAAGACATTGTAAACAGAAAGCTATACTTTCGAGACCGACGCCACATTGTCCGTAACATTCCTTGCACTCGAATTCTGCCAATTTGCCGCACACCGTACATTGTCTGGGTGCTGCAAAACAATATCTAAATATTACTATGAGGCATTTCAGAAAAAAAAATTGTGACACGCATACGTATAACGATACTTAACAGTTTTCGATAATGTCTGTCACATCGAGTAGTAATGTAGGTTGTATCTTTTGATACATTTTAAATGATTTCCCAAAACGTGGCATTTGTATAATAAGACACGAAGGGACTTCTTTCAATCTAATGTTACTGGTAAGAAAGCTCTGTTCCAATAATTGCTGTACAGTTGGCAGATTTAGATGGTCGTCTTTTTCTACAAACAATTGATAGTGATACGCGTCCTGCCCAGAGCTTAATTTGAGAAACGGTTCGGCATTTAAAATCTGGGCGACTAGCGATGTTAAGAATTCCTCTGGATCTGAATACATTAAAAATACATTACAAATTATTATATTAACGATATAAAATAATATCTAAGATTTTGAAATATAAAGCAAAAAGACCTTTCTCTTCGCTAGTAAGACCGGACACCGACGATAATTTTTCGAGCAATGTTCTAAGTTTCATTACACGATCCGCTCTGACAAACATGTTCTTTCTAAGTGGATTTACGATCTCTTCTCTCAAGACTCTTTGCACTTCTTCGTATTGTGGACAATCTTTTTCATTCGGTGGTCTGAAAAACCATTATACACAACATACACAAATTATTATATATTTTTGCCAAAACTATACTATTATATTACATATCTATGTAATAAAATCTATATTTTCTTTTAAAGAGAAATAGTATTTTTTTAAATTATATATTTTAATTATAATTAAAACAAAATTAATTACCGAAACAAGAGGTTGTCGAATACACTGGTAAATGTGAACATACTGAAGAGAGTAGCATCTAGATAGCACGAATTGTGATGACCCTGAATACCACGATATTTCCCGCATATACTTTCCAAGTCTCCCTTAACGGAGATAGGTCGTACTATTCCCGCGATTACAGAGCTCTCCATGTTACCGAAATGATCGTTATTTGTAAGTGCCGGTGACTCATTGAGTTTCGTCTGTTCACAAACAAAAAATTATAAATCATTTATTTTTTTCAAATTTACTCGCATAATGGCATATAGATATTGAAAAGATAACATTGCAAATATCTTATTATATCTATACTTACGTTTTCGTAATGAGAACAGTGTTCAATATCTGTGAATATAGCTTTATAAGGCCTACAGTGAAAGTATCTGACATCTTTATAAGTTCCATCAGTACCTAAAGGATGTCCATCATCCTATGAATGAAACATCATTCATATTTGTTCTCTTATATTCTTATAACAATCCATTTAATCAATTCATTTCACTCACCAATTCGACTGCTGCCATCAATTTGCCAGGACTTATACCAGATGGTGTGCCAATCCATTGAATAACTCCATAATGAATATCAGAATCCAGAAGTACTTTTACAGTAGAACCCACCATCAAATCTTTCTTATTCTCTCCCCTGAATTTCTTGATTTCGTTCTTTTCTAGTGTATTACCTATTACAATTAATAATATGCATAGTTTATTGTAATTGCTTGTAATATTTTAAAAAGATGTATTTTAATATAAAGAATTTAAACAGATATAAATGATCACTTTTTTTTATGTACATATAAAAGTATAAACTTGATTGTGTTTTTAAAAACAAATATTTGCGGTAGAGGCAGGATATTAACTACATCTTACTGTAATCCAATAAGTTTATGCTACATGCATCTTCCACGTCACTGTATACATTTGATTCTATATCACTACTCCATTTGTGCTCCAATACAAAAATAGGAATGTTCTGCAATTCTGTTGTCATTTTTCAACAATAATGCAATAACTGTATGGTGCTTTATAACCTGCCGGCAGCTCTCTAGGAAGTCAGACTAGGTCTGTGCATATTTTTAGACACCTCAGCTATTATTAAACTTCCTCTACCGCACGGAAGAATTTAAGTTCAGTATCGGTTAATTTTGTTTTAAGGTTTTTAAGGGAAAACATCATGAGAATAAGTATATTTAGTACATTTATAATGATAAAATTACCACATTTAAAAAGAGCATGATCGACGCTTTTAGTATAATTATTAACATTATTTTCAAGATTTGACTTTGTGGCCTGATGATGTTCTTTTAATATGTTGACAGATTCTTGATTGTTGTTCTTATTGTCATCAAACAGGGTAAATTTTTCTAATAAAACAGCTGGTGTACTATCAAGCACAGATTTTTTCTTATCATTAGTATAGTCGATTCCTGTGTTATTCTTTAAGAATGCTAAAATAAAAATATATCAAATTGGATAATTATGAGAGATTATTACATATAAACAAATATTAAATTATAATTTATATACTTTTTTCAATGTTGCCAGAAATTGTGTCAGATTCAGCTTTATATGGATATATATTATTTACAGTAGCAAATGTTACACTAGCATTTGAATGTGTAGAAATAAAATATTCTTTGGCCAATAGAGATGTTTTGAATACTTCTTGGCTTTCCTGGAATGTATATATATATGTATTTTTAATATCATTATATCTCATATTATAATGTACATTTAATTGTGAAATATATGTATATTATTCAAGAAGCTATTTTCTCTTTATCAACACAGATTTTCTCACAATTTTAATATTAGTCAATTCCTTAATATAAAAAATATAATTATAATGTACACGTATACATTGTATATGTATATATTGCACATTTTCATATATATTTTCAACATTAAGTATTTTTACAGTTAAGCTCCAATTAAGGCAATATTAATTGAAAATTAATCAAAACACAAAGCTATATCACTTGCTCGCAAATTTGGTTTGCTAAAACTTTGCTCGTTTTGTTTTTATAGCTAAGAGAAAAGATTACAATTTCATATATATCTTACATATAATACATTATACTTCTAGATGTATAAAATAGAAAATCTTCGATATAAGAGTAACAGGCATTAAAAGTAGCATTATTAATTCACCAATAATTCAAGACCAAAGTAATGTCCCAATCCAAGTTGCTTCACAGGTCCAATGTATCTGACAAGCGCTATCTCCTTAGCTCGCCTATTAGAAGAATCGGAGCAGTAACAGACCGTGTCGTGGACAGAGATATTCCTTATTCGTTCGCACAGAGCCTCGTCATTCGCGATTCGAATTCTCTCCTGAGGGGATTGAACGGTGAGCAGATACTGCCAGATCTTCTGTGACACGGGGATTAGATCATACTTGTGGCAACGCCATTCTGTACCGCACCAGATCTTAGATCCGCCGATGGTGTCGATCACGCGGACCTTCAACACGCTCTCCTTCAAATCCTCCAGTGCTTCTACAAGCATTCCCACACGCAACTCGTTAACATTAACGACGCACGCACCGAATAGCCGTATCAGTACCGTGTCTTGCTTGGCAATGTAGTGTTGTAGGACCCGGTGTTCCTTACTGTCGCGATCTTCCATGGTCGTATATTAAATAATCATTCTACACGAAAGAAATGTTGATTTATTAGCTCGTCTGTCAACCTCAAAGTTTGCTTGTTTCTCGTATATACGATCTTATTCGATATATTTGATACGATGATAGAATTTCATCTTCCTTTAAACTTCGAAAAATAGATATTCTCTTTTATTACATATTTTCACGGATTATTGTTCGCCGACAAATTATTTATTTTATTATTACGTTGTCACCATAGACATATAGGTCCTATGATTGTCACTCTATGCTGATATTACGGTTGGGTTCAAACAACTAGAAGAGAAACCTTTTTTAGATAGCGGCCATTCCGTCGACCAATGGACACATATCAAACTGTGATTTCACTAATAGCATTTTTAAACTTCGAAAAATAGATATTCTCTTTTATTACATATTTTCACGGATTATTGTGTTCGCCGACAAATTATTTATTTTATCATTACGTTGTCACCATAGACATATAGGTCCTATGATTGTCACTCTATGCTGATATTACGGTTGGGTTCAAACAACTAGAAGAGAAACCTTTTTTAGATAGCGGCCATTCCGTCGACCAATGGACACATATCAAACTGTGATTTCACTAATAGCATTGAAAAATAAATTATAAAGGCGCTACTGAACGGCTATTTAAACGACTTATAAAAAGAAACCCATTGGCCGCTCTCAGGGCTCCTACTCTCTCGAAGTTATAGTAGTGATGGTTGTAAACAAACACAACAAAACGATATTTTTTAAACAAATGGAAATTAATGATCTATTTTTTAAATTACTGTAAGAAACACAAAGTTTGTATATGTAAGAATAAAAATATTTTTTTCGTTAAAGACAATAACTACTTGATACTTAACATAACACGGGTTATCATCGCAAACAACATCGTCAGTTAACGAAGATAAGCGCGAAAACTAATCGGCGTGCGATTTATATATTAAATAAACTTTGAAGCAGTTGCAGCAAAGTGAGTTTTGAACTATTAATATCTTACAGTATAATGCATATGAAATAATTAAAACCAGATCTTTTTCATTTAAAATAACATTAGATGATACTAAAATTTGAAGTGTACAATTTTTTAAAAATTGTGAACTGTTTTTTTTTTTTTCAGTAAAAGCTAAAGAGCTCTTGAAAGCTAACAGTCGACAATGTTTCAGGTTGGGATACAGTTGCTGCTGATTAAAGTGAAATGTCAAATATTTCATAGAAATGCAATTATAACCTCCAGGACTTTGTACTTTTGAATAAGATCACCATAGATAGGATTAGTTGCATGTACAGATATCTTCATTAAGCATTCAGAATGGACCAGATGCTTCCTAGTCCTGGTTTTAGCATACCTAGCATTGGTACGCCTCTGCATCAACCAGAGGAGGATCAACAAATCTTGCCAAATGCCATACAGCAGCAACAATCGCAACAGTATCAGCAACTGCAACAATTACACTCGATGAGTCCTAACATGCAAAGTGGCATGTTAATGATAACAACGCCGCAAAAGAATATGCACACATATGCCCCAACTCCAACATTTGCGACACCGCAAAGTCTTATGCAGCCACAAACACCGGTAATTTAATATTGAAGTGTTATTAATGGAAATATTAGTTTAGATAACAATATTACAAACATTTTCAAAAGACTATTTTAATGTTGCAACTTTGATAGTTTCAAATTAGTATTAATTGAAATATAATTTGATAATTGTATGTTACATTTTTGCATTGTAGTGAGTGATAAACTTTAGCAAATTTAGTTTTTTCTCTATTGTTTTTATGTTGATTCTATATTTACTTTAACAAAAATGTTTAATTTTAAATTTATTTGTTTATATTTTAAATATTGAAATATATTAATTACGATTGAAAAACATATAGCAATAGCGAAGAAGAATTTGAAGAATACTTAACTGTTAAAAAAAAAGAAAAGTACAATATTTTAGAAAGGATACTTTACATTTTTCATTAATTTATTCTTTATTCTACTTTATTATTTTAATACTGTCTCTTTTATTTCTTAGCAAAATATGATGTCTCCAATAGTACCACAAAGTAATCAGATAGCACCGCCATCAATTGGTCCTGCAACCCCAGGGCCAATGACACCGATGACACCAGCTTCCGCAGATCCTGGAATATTACCACAATTACAGTAAATTTTCAAAGAAAATTGATATAACGCTCTATTTTTTCTTTTTTTTACATATATACATAATATATCATGTATTTTGCTTTATTGTAGAAATATCGTGTCTACTGTCAACTTAAATTGCAAGCTCGATTTGAAGAAAATAGCGCTTCATGCTAGAAATGCCGAATACAATCCCAAGAGGTTTGCAGCTGTTATCATGCGAATAAGAGAACCAAGGACGACTGCGTTGATATTTAGTAGTGGCAAAATGGTTTGCACTGGGGCCAAAAGCGAGGGAGATTCGCGTCTCGCTGCGAGAAAGTACGCGAGAATTATCCAAAAGTTGGGTTTTCCTGTAAGTATTGCCTCTTCATCAAAGACATAATGCAAGATCGATTAGTGTTTTAATACAATTTTTTTCTTTTTAATATAGTATTACAATTTATTGATAATTAATAATTATAATAATCTTTATTATTATAAATATGATTATTGAAATTGTTCTAATTGCAAATTTATAGGCAAAGTTCCTAGATTTTAAGATCCAGAACATGGTTGGCAGCTGTGATGTTAAATTTCCAATTAGATTAGAAGGTTTAGTGCTTTCTCATGGGCAGTTCTCGTCTTACGAACCAGAGCTATTTCCAGGACTGATATACAGGATGGTCAAGCCTCGAATTGTATTGCTTATATTCGTTTCAGGGAAAGTGGTATTAACAGGTGAGCACATATATTCATATATCCTAAGATTTTATTATAATTTTTTAAATAAGATTCACAAAAAAGTGTGTCATAAGATATACTGTTTAGATAATATATCAGAGTTATAATTTTTTTACAATTTTCAAATTTTTAACATATTGACCAGATTTATATCGAAAAATTGAATTATAATATTGTTATTTTTAAAATACAAATATTAAATATCGATATTTCCAAAATTTTAACTGTTATAATTGCAATGTTTATATGAGAAAAAAAGTTTATGCTGGACGTTTTTAAACTTCTGGAATATCTTTGTAACCGACAAATCTCCATAAAATACACTATCTAAACATATTTGTATTTGAATACTTATACATATGTTTATATGTTCTGCCACAGGTGCAAAGGTTCGCAAGGAAATTTATGAAGCCTTTGACAACATTTATCCAATTCTCAAGAGTTTTAAGAAACAGTGATAAAGTTCATATAATGCTGATTTATTTGCATGACTGATTTTATTTCTAATACGTTACAGAGTTCTTATTTTTTTAAAAATAAAATCACACAGAGGGGACAAATTAATATTATTGTTAAATTACAGTTTTTGTTAACTTTTTCTATTTCACATTAATTCAATATATAGAATGTTCCAAAATCGTTTTTATTGCCGACTTTTTATAAAGTTGATCTCTTTATGAAACTTATTAATGAAATTCTTTTTATTTTTATGTTTTCGAGTAATTGACAATTAAAGATAAAGAATTTCTACAAATGAAGCTTAAAAAAAAAACCCAAAATATTTTTTAGTTTGTGTAAAATTTTTTGAATTTTAATAAATTTTCTATTTGAATTTTAGCTAAAAAAATATAATGTTAAAAGTGCATAATTATAAATACCGATATTTTTTGTAAATGTCGATATTCAAAAAGAAAGGATGGTTTCTGCAATATGACAAAAAATCGTAATTTTTTTATAATTTTGAACCATAGTGCAAAAACTCCCCAAACGCATACTGAAAATTAGATAGTAATATCTTTATTTCTAGATTGACAGCTAAAGAAACCGCGATTAAACAATGTCCAATGCTTTAAAATATATAATTATAATAATTTAACACATAAATTATACACACAATATAGTTTATAAAATATTTATTATTTTTTTTAAACCTTTAGTTTTTCAATATCTGAAAAATGAACAGTGTGAAAGAAAGAGTAACTTGTATAATGTTACAATAATTCTGCTTACATTTTTCATATCGAAATAACTTACTTTATTCAGTTGATTTTCATAGACATTCTAAAAATACATCAGATGGGAGCATGTAAATTTTGTAATAGATTCAGTTCCGATTTTTCTGAAACTTCTAAACTTCCCGTTTATATGTACTTTTCTTTTCTCTGTATATATGATATACATAATAGAGAGTGCATAATTTTGTATTTATATATAAAATAGTCTCTTCTAGAGTAATATACATACAGTGCCTCGATTAAGATCGTACAATATTCCCCGATTATAAGATCGAATTTACCTTGGTTGTAATATTATAATATTTTTCTTGTCATTATTCAGATGAAACGTTGTGTATCAAGAATACATGCTTTATCAATTTCGATTCTTAACAGATATTATTATCTCTTAATTACATGATAAAGGATGTTGCTTTAATTAATAAGGAAAAATATGAAAAATACATGTCATACATATAAAATGATTTATCATCGCTGTATGAATCTCTTCTCTTTTTTTAATTTTATATTTTTAAATAAAATTACCAATAGAGACATCAAAACTTAATAAGAGGTCAACATTTAAATTTTCTATTTATTATTTCACACATTGCCACTTATTAAAATTAATTCAATATACAAATATTTTTTTATTTTGGATGACATTATTGTTATGTCTTATCTTTCCACTTTTTTCTGATCAAAACCATTCTCTTACTCTACGTCTAAATTGTATTTGTTGCATTGTTATTGTAGAAGTTCTTAAAACAAAAACTGTTAATTTTTTTTTTATTATAGAATTATATAGTAACAAGCTTGAAAAAAATAATATTAGGCAGATATTTGTGCATTATATTCAATCTGCTGGAGCTCTAATATTTTTGTAAGTCCCTTTTAAATAGAGATGCGCAATGTATATATAGTATAAGAGAAAAGAATTATAACTAGTTTTCCAATATATCATACTAGCTAATTTGTATGCAATAACTCATACTATTGTATCAAAACACACATTATTTGCTGCACAGATATACATTTCTATTTAATTGTAATAAAGTTATGTAAAATAAAAATAATTATTTATTTTTTGGTAAATATAAAATATAATAATAGTACGTCTACAAAATACGCAGATATTTTGCAAAAGTTCAAAGCACACACATGGCTTGTATAAAATTTATATAATATTAAAAATTGAAGAGTATTGGTTTCTCACGAGCATGTACAGAAAAAAAGCAAATTTTGTTAGACAACTTTAAGAGCATTTTAAATCGTGTACATGCAGAAAATAAACCTGTAAAAAAGTCGATGTAAATAATAATCTCTAAATTTTGCTGGATATTTTATACAGACTCAGTTTTGCATTATGATTTAAACGCTTGGTAATAAATAAGTAAATCTCATTATCATATACTTACACCATATTTAGTTACTCATTATAGAGAAGGAAGTTATATATTATTATTATAATCTTCATAAAAATAATCAAAATCATAATAAGTATGAAAGATTGACGTTTAACAAGTTTATAATTTTGATTTTAACGTATGGCGCAATACTCGACGTAATATTTTACCAGATGGAGTTTTTGGAATACTATCCACAAATTTTATGCCGCCCCTAAGTCGCTTAGGATTGGATACACGTTCTGAAAAAAAGATATATATATACATAAATGTATATAAAATCTACACGCGCGAAATTTCCATTATATCGCGATATTAATGATTCTTCGCGAGTTAATAAAAGTTCAATAAACTTTTTTTTTAGAATTAATAAATAGGCTACATATCATATTTGTTCCATTATTAGATACGATAGGTTATCAGATGTAGAAACAAAGCTATCCTGGATATTCTTACCATTCACATATTGGATTATATCTTCCTCACGTACATTGGAATTCTCTTGTTTGACAACAAATGCCATTGGTAGTTCTCCAGCTTCTTCATTCGGAATGCCAATTACGGCCGCGTCTTTTATGCCAGGATAAGTCAACAAAATCGCTTCGAGCTCAGCTGGTGGGACCTGATAGCCTTTATATTTAATAAGTTCTTTTATACGATCGACGATATAAAAATACCCTTCTTCGTCATAGTATCCCACATCTCCTGTATGTAACCAACCATCCTTATCAATCGTCGCTCTAGTGGATTTTTCGTCATTATAGTAGCCTTTCATTATTAGGTCTCCCTTGAAACATAACTCTCCTTCACAATTCGGTCCCAAAGTTTCATCCGTCTCATATTCTCCAAGTGGTATTATCTTTGCTGAAAGAATATTATAAATACATCACTAGTGTATTTCATATTGATGAAAAAGATACATTATTTAATATTTATCAGTTATAAACATCAAAAGTTGTGAAAAAAAAACAAGTGGAAAATATAAACGAATACCAATATTTGAAAAAAAGTGAACATTATGTGATACTATTTCATAATACAATAGTGGAATGTGAACAATCATGACTCAATAGTGAGTAAAAATAAAATGTGCTTAACTGTAAAGAATTAAAACACTCAAAAACAATGTATAAAAAACAAAGCTTCCTCTATGAGGAAGCAATAATTAATAAATATTAATTGATTACATTTCAAGTAGTAAGACATTATATATTTCTATAATCGAGGAATATTATTACCTGATACACCTGCAACTAACATGCCGACACTACCAAATTTTACTGCTGTATTATCTGGAAATCGTAGCACAGCTAAAGTAGTTTCCGTTAAACCATAGCCCTGTGTAATTTCGGATATATTTAATCGCTTGGCGACAGCTCTCTGAGTTTCCTGTGACAATGGAGCAGCTCCACACCTAATTAAATAAGTACTTTAACAACTGTGTAATTTATAGAAAATTTTGAATGAAATATTTAAGCATCGGACATAGGATATACATTTCTAACATAGCTCTGATTGTTTTAATGACAGTTCCATAAAATTTCTCATTCCATAAGATACAAAATTTTCAAAAGAAAACTGCTATGAGCAAAAATAAATAAAGTTTAAAGGTTTTCCATTTATATAAACTTGCATTATTTTTGTACCTACAAAAAAGCCAGAATTAAACTATTAAGGCAACATTTTTATTCTTGTCTTCATTTGTACGAGCTTTTAATTTACTTATTTAGTATAGAGAACTGGATTATTAATTTCACAATTATTAAAAAATATTTATATAATTTTTTCTTTATTCAAATTTTTAGAACCTTCTTTCAAACTTATTGTTTAAAAACCAGAATCTCAGTTGAAAACAGCAAAAATAAATAAAGTTTAAAGGTTTTCCATTTATATAAACTTGCATTATTTTTGTATCTACAAAAAAGCCAGAATTAAACTATTAAGGCAAAATTTTTATTCTTGTCTTCATTTGTACGAGCTTTCAATTTACTTATTTAGTAGAGAACTGGATTATTAATTTCACAATTATTAAAAAATATTTATATAATTTTTTCTTTATTCAAATTTTTAGAACCTTCTTTCAAACTTATTGTTTAAAAACCAGAATCTCAGTTGAAAAATTTGAAAGAAAAGATGAAAGTTTTTCATTTGCATAGCATTCTTCGGACATTAATTGTATTGCATTTTTCATCTTTTATCTTATTTATTTTTCAAGTCTTTATTTCTTTGTATTATTTTAATGACAATCTGCTTTCAAAATTTCAACATATTTACCATATTTTTTTAATGGAAGATAGATCATATTTGTCCACAAGTGGATGTTTAGCTAGGAATACCATAATTGGTGGTACTATCGTTAAATATTCAATTTTATATTTTTCTATTGATTGTAGAAATAATTTTTCTTCAAAGCGTGAAAACACTATACCACTGTTTCCACCTATCAATCTTATCACCAACAAGGCGAACGAATATGCGTGGAAAAATGGGAGCAATGCCAAAGAGATAGCATTTGCAAGAAATGGGTTGCTAATATACATGCGTATGATTGTAGTAATATTTTTATCTGTCCACATAACACCTTTTGGCAATCCTGTAGTTCCACTCGAGCATAAAATTGCTGTTACATGATTATTTACATCAACAGGAACAGCTTGGAACTTATCTTTATTTTCATCAGAGACACTTGATACTGCTTTATACATGCTCATCCATGGTATGTCAGTATTATCATAATCGTTTAACAGTAACACTCTTGGCGACCAATGTAACTCTTTAAATATACTTTTCATGTTATTAAGTGCTATCACAGAAATAAAAATATACTTTGGTTTCGTAATGCTAAGTGCATGTTTTAATTCTCCTTTGGAATATAATGGGTTTAATGGACAGACAACAGCACCCAGATAAAATATAGCACACACTGGAATACAGAATTCCAGATTGTTTTCACTACATACAGCTACGGTATCATTCACTTTCAGTCCTTCTTTTCGAAGGTAGATTGCCAATTTTCGGCTATTATCTAAAATATGTTTAAATGTTTGTTCCTTGCCTGTGTGGGCATCTATCTGCAAAACAATTTACCATTGATGTAGTGAGAAAAATTATATGCAATAAGATTATTGGATCTATAATAATATGATTCATAAATATAATATATAAATATAAGTTATTTTATATATATGTATATATAAAAGAAAAAGAAAAAAAAATATACGTATATAAAATTAATGCAAATATATACATAACTTACTTGTGCCACACGAGTATCATGTATTGTGAGTTGTCTTAATAATAATTGCCCCACCGAGAAATCAAGTTCTGTCATCAATTCTCCTTTCCCATGCAGAATATGTGCTTGTTTTGACATGTTAAATACGAAGAGCTTTCTTTCTCACGTCTGATATTAAAGAGTATTTGAGAACATTAAAGAGAATACAGAACCGTGTATCTCGCACAAAATACAATACTGTGTAAATGTTTACTTAATGCAATAAACAGTCGCAATAAGGACAGATAAGAATCTTTTGCGCAGTCATTATTATGATGATTATTAATGCATATCAGTGTATATTTGTGGTATGTATTTTTCAATCAGTGAGAAAAAATATCTCGCGCCGGTATGTTATCGAGATGAGTTTTGCGCGCATGCGTATGCGCGAAACAAACGGTATCAATAAAGTGCTTAGTTAAGTAAAAAGGAATGCCATTAATCGCCCGCCCAAAAATCTCTAATAAGTGTAAAAAATGTTCTAGAAATTTTGTTGTTTACTTGCTATTTTCATTTTGAAATCCATTATTAATAAATATAAATTTACTCTTTATTCATTCTATATATATAATCTGTCTTTATTATCACCAGATCCGCCAAGACTTTGGCGCTCATAACACCTTTTATCTACACATCACTGTTTTAACCAGAGACATAGTATATCTAGACCATAGACATAGTATATCTAGACCGAGCGTTTGCCTTTATTTAAGGAGTGGGGGTAAAGATACACGTAGAAAAGGACATACTCTGTTTCGTGCCCCTTGCGTTCTTTCTCGCTCGCACAGAGCATAGCGCTCTCTTTCGTCATGCTACGTGCGAGCGAGAGAGAACGCAAGGGGCACGAAACAGAATATGTCCTTTTCTACGTGGGCATCGGCCGTCGGCCCCCACTCCTCAACACTAGATATACTCTAGATATACTATGTCTATGGTTTTAACTGTCACTTCACCGCACATGCGCGAAAAGACCCGGCCCGAATAATAACACTAGGTTTGTTCTTACATGTTTTTTTTAGTTGACTTTGTGCATTTCTCGTTTGTCCTTTCTTTTTTTCGAACTTTTAAATATATATCTATCTCATTTATTCGGTTCTAGTTCAGCAAAAAAAAAAAAAACACGATGAATTAAACGCTTCCAAAAAAAGAAGAGGGAAATTCCGCCGTTTGATA